CCCAGTATTACAATTCATACCTTTCCAAATACAAACAAATCTGGCCAATTGTGCTGATGAGATTTTCAGGTGGCTGAGCTGACCAAGTCACCGTAGGCAAGGAGTGGAATCAGACTGGAGGAACCATAAGAAGCTTTGAGAACAAGCAGTAGGTTAGTTCTAATTTCCAGGCTGAATAGCAGGAGAGAGTGTGAAGCAGGCCACCCAGTAAATATCAGCACTCACTTTTTCATGCTTACAGCAGAAAGTGGAAAGGCATCAACTAATGAAAGTGCAAATGTTAATATTGAGGGACACTTCTGACTATCAAAGCTGATACTGAGGAAACGCTGATCTGGACAGCCGCTGTATAAAAGACCATTTCAAGCAGAGGTGTAAAGAGAAATCTTGAGTGAAGACACCAAGAAAAATATGGCTAGCAAAAACCCCCCCCCCAAAAAAAACTAAAAAAAAAAAACCCTTGTTTCAGCAGAACTGAAGAAAAGGCATCCAACTGTCTAAGGCACTAACATAAAACTGGGTAGAGGAGGGGATTTACAGGGGCTGGTTCACAAATGTTTGTCAGTGTGCCAAACTTCTGCAGGTGGAGGTAGAAACTGTTTTTGAAATCCTGTGTCCCTTAATAGATTAAGTGAAAACACAAAGGGACTGGGAAAACCAAAAAATATGCAACTCTTTAGGGTGGGATACCCTTTAGCAGCAATTTATCTTGGGATAAATATTTGATTAAATATAGCAAAGATCAGGTCTAGCTATCAATAGAAAACAATTCACAAACATGGGTGCAAGGACTGTTTATTGATCATTTTATTAATGACAAACATGTTTAAAACAAATCAAAGGGAGAGGAAAACAAAACAAAAAAAAAAAAAGGACACTGTGCTAGCACAAGCATTCCTGGGTACTTAAAATCCAGAATAACTGCTACAGGAAAACAGAAATCTAGCTAACTGATGCTGTTAATTCAGTGAAGGAGTGAGATCATGTTAAACATTCACCAATATACTGGACTTCTATGCAGGAAATTTTTCTAGATACACACTTAAACTACTTAGAATGCAGTGCAAGGTAAGGGAAAAAATAAAATTAAAAGAGCCCTTCGGCAACATTTAGAAAATAAAAAGAGTCCATATCTTGCAGGAAGGAAGGTGGCCAGAGTCATGTTCAGCGTGCACGAAAAATGCAACGTCAGTCTGTTTGATCAGTGACAATGGTTCAGAATTGGCACACCAATGAAATATTACCTAAAAGTATATAAACTGAACAGGTTTATATCGTATATCAGCCAAACTGAACCAAACTGAACCAAACTAATCCAGAAGAACCCATGGTTTAAGACAAGTGCTTAAAATGTTTGGAGGAAAACCAGTAAACAGTATTTGCTAGGGGGAAAAATAGTAACTTGGGATCGCAAAATAACTGCATTTTCAAGTGTTATTTTTTTTTTCCCCACACAGGCCTTTAGTGCCAGTGACAGCAGGGGGCAAAAAACTAGCCGACATTTTATAAATCCTTAAACTAAATCATATATGGATTTCTACAATGCCAAACAAATTTATATTGTTTTGCTCTTAAAACATCTTAAGTTGTGTACACTGGAGCTGAATGGACAGAAGGCGAGTCTGGCCTGTTACTGACCTAAGGCCAGGTCCATTCACACTCAGTCTCACTAAAAGCACCAGATGTGCTTCCAGTCATACAGTGACTGTAGACCACCTTCCACACTGCCTGCATTCCTGTTTGCTTTTCAACCAGTTTCAAAATCTATTGCAAAGAACTTGACTTTCAAACCTATATAATCCCCAGTTTCCACTACTAGATCCATTTCTGGGAGGGGAAGTTGTAGCAGGCTAGCTTGTCTTTCCTTGACAGGTGGGTGCCGAAGGGCAGAGGAAACCCGTCCCTTTTTCAAAGCATACAATTTGCCTAAACAATGATTTATTTATTGTGTGGAGTAGAGTCCAGACAGTAGCCAATCAAAGCATACAGAAAACACTGAAAAAACCCCTCTCCTTATGGGAGTTTGTATACTCCTTTGCTCTACTACACTGCTTTAGGAAAGAGAGGCTAGTCATCAAGTCATTTACTGCATCTTAAATCTGAAAGTCCTTGTTTGTGGCCATATGTCTAACTAGCCACAACATTAACCACAATGTCTTGCAGTACTCAGGTCCACCGCAACCAGCAGTTAAAAAAAAATAAATATCCAGCACTTATTTTCTCTAGAAGTTTTGTTAAAACCATCTAAGAGATCTAGAACCTTCAGGTAGAAGGGAATGGTGGAGTCCATCAGTTTCCCAGTCAAAGCCAGTTTGAAAATCAAACCTACATCTCAAAGTTGACCTTGTTAGCTGGTAATACTGCAGTATGTTCTGAACAATCTAGAAGAAATGCTGTTTACAGTTAAAACAGACTTGCATGAGCATGTAAAAGAAAAACAACTCTGAGATAAGGAACTGTTTTCTGCCAGCTTTGAGAAGATGGTGCTCAAGGAACACACATGAACGAGCTGGAAAAAGTAAAAGCGGATTTCTCAAGCCCATGACCAAGTTATGGTGGGCTAGAGAGGTCTAGATTGCTGTTCCAATGTGAGTAGCGGCATCTTGATGGCAATGGTTCCTCCCATTAACTACCTATTTCGTTGAGTGTATGTGGCTCCTCTGATGTTCAGCCACTTCTCCTATCGTTCTCCTCGCCTCAGTGTGCTTGCAGTGGTCTCGCTTGCTTTCGCTCTCTCGATATTTTTGTATTTAATCCCTCTCTCGTTCCTCTCTCTCCTGTTGCTCTCACAGTGGTGCTTCAGTTTTAGCAGTGGAAAACAGGTATCCGTTTTATTTTTTTATTACTCAGAATAAAATGTGGATGAACTAAGTTCCACACAGGCTTAGCTCTTCTTCAACCTGCATAGTGAGCAAAACAAAAACCCTTAGTAAAATAAATTAAAATTTTAAAATATTGGTTACTTGCTATTGCATTGACACAAAATAAAACCACTGCTGATCTATTCAAGTCTGGAAGGGTTTATTCTCTTTATGACCAGGGCATTTTTTGCTATTCAGCACTGCCCTAAGTTAACTGGCAATTGGGCGGTCATGCAAGACTGTACCCAAATTAAATTTTTTTTTTTTTTAACACAAATAGAGCTCTCTTTTAGTGGTATGTGATCACCACTGGTTTTTTTTATATGAACAAAAACAGACCGAAAATTTGGAAGAAAAAAAAAAAAAAAAAAAAATATCAGCGAATCACATGGCAGCAACTCAATGCATTTAGGCAACTAGATGTTGTGAATACAACTTGCTGAAGTTCAAATCGAGAAAAAGGGATTTAAGTGACTTCGAACTTGGAATGGTTGTTGGTGCCAGATGGGCTGCTCTGAATATTTCAAAAACAAAATCTACTGGGATTTTCATGTACAACCAGGGTTTACAGAGAATGGTCAGAAAAAGAAAATATTCAGTGAGCGGCAGCTGTGTGAATGAAAATGCCTTAGTGATGCCAGAGGAGAATGGGCAAACTGGTTTCTGCAACATTCAGAGGATAGGGTCAGAATTTGGCGTAAACATGAAAGCATGGATCCATCCTGCATTGTATCAACAGTTAAAGCTGGAGGTGGTGTAATGGTGTGGGGGATATTTGGTACACACTCACACATACATACACTGGAATTTACACAGCTATAGATGCTATATTGATAATGGTGGTGATCAGCAACTTATAGCAAGTGTGCTGGGAAATCTGGCGCTAACTGACACTGGCTGAGAGGGACTCCAACATCACTAGTGGCACTAACACAGTGATCAGATAAAATACTATACACTGTACTGACACTGGCTGGGAAGGATTAACATCTTGGGGTATCAAATTGTTAACTGTGTACAAGTGTAATGAGTGCTGCTTTTACTCACAGTTCTGCCAGGTGGCGATGTATGTGAATCTCACCTAGCCTGGCTGTGCCGTACATACTGTGGGCGGGTGGCAAAGGGTTAAGGTGCCAGTTTTTTGCTGGCCTATTTTAAGTCTCTAAAGTGGAACAAGTGCTCAGATCAGTAGTTTCGGCATGCTCGTTCTGGGTCAGTGACTGAGAAATATGGAAGCCAGATACATTCTGGCATTTAGTAGAGGCCAACTTAGAGCATAAAGCCCAACTCCAGCTTTGCCATCACTACAAACCATTTATTTGGGCCAAGCTGGCCAAAAAAATGTTTTTACTAGAACATAGCCACTTGTCTGCGCTGTACAAATTGTACGTAGCATCAGCTACATAGTGTTGTGTTCTGGCAGTGGTACAGGGACTTCCCATTCCATTCCAAAAAAAAAAAAAAAAAAAAAAAAAAAAAAGTAGGGTTGAGCCTTGCATTTCAACAAGAACTGCAAAGTTTACTCTGGATAGCTGAGGTTTGTATTGTGATGTCATCCACTTGCCTCTCCACCTCAACCATTCAGAGGAAGCCTTATATTCAATGATAAATGGCGTTCTATAAATGGCTGAGCAGTGCTCAGCCCGTCATACTTTTGTTTCAGGAACAGTAAGTTCTTGTACCGCAGCCAGAACATATCACTGTATATTGTATGTAGCTAATGCTACAATAGGATTTACAAAGCGCAGGCAGTGGCCGCATGTATTAGTAAAGGAAATAGCTAGCTTGGGCCAGCATGGCTTCACTAAAACCTTCACTTCCTGTCCTATAGCCAAAACAGGACTTTCAAGAAAAACCCTACAAACTGAGGGAATTCCTGGTTGTCACCAAAACTAGTGTCCTCAATGGAAGATCTCCCCTCTACTCCTGCTCTGGTGACAGCCCAAAATTTGGGATTTTCTTTCAATTTCACTCATAGTGATAACAGCAAACAGGACAAATAGAGAGTATCTCCCTAATGGGGGGACAGACAGCAATAAAAACCTGACAGGTGTACCCACTTGCAACAGATATCAGCATTGGCAAGTTATGACTATTAAGGAAAGCAACGAATGCCATAACTTTTCAGATACTTACACATTAGTACTGTGACAGCCCAGTCACGCCTCCATGTTGATATGCACGTTCACCCTGGTAAGTAGAATCCTGCGATAACGCAACATCAATTTGTGACTTAAATTCATCACCAAGGTAGCTATCCTAAAGCAAGAACAGAAACATTCATGTTACTTTTAATCGGCTTCTCACAACAGCATTCATAGTAAGCGAGCATGATCTAAATTTTGTGAGATGGGTATTTCTATACTGCATGCAAGATTTGAAGGTTTTCTATGTTTTTGCTGGTAAAAAATACATTTAACCCCTTCCCACTCTGGCGTCCTTCTAAACAGTTCTGAACACCTGGGACACTAAAAGGATCAGCAGGGGGTGACCATTGTAACAGATCTTTAGCCCAGACTGAGAGCTGTCTTTGTGCTGAAGGCACACACTCAGAACAAACATCGGCCACCTAGTGATACATATATGCAGGGTGTTGGTGTTAAAGCCTACGTTTTAGGCACCATACATCTGTTAGGTCTCTCATAAAGGGATTCATAAGAAAAGATCATAAAACTGCCAATTATATCTACACCTATATCTACAGGTATTTACGAGATTTTTTTCACTAGATGTAAATGAGGTGGATGCTGTGTATTTAAATCTCTATGTACTCTCAGTTCATGGAGTATGTTTTTTGACTGTCAACTTGTGTTGTATCATAGTGAAGAAAAAAAAAAAAAATAATTTGCTTTTAAATTCAATATCTTTAAGTACAGTACAGGTCTTATTCATATGCCATGGGTTATATGCTGCTGTCTTTAAGAGACAGAACATTCACAAACAGCTCTGCTGGGAACACCCTCATAACCCCACCCACTCTGTTGGACTGCAGTTATGTAGGAAGCAAGAAGGAGAAAGAGGACGGAGGGGAGGGACCTGTGTTATGTACTAGATAGATAGATTGTAATAGATCGTAGATTGTATCCCTTGGTCGCCAACCCCCAGAGCCTGGAGGGGAGGGGCGGCATTTAGTGGAACCAATAGGCTGTATTTTTCTCCAATTGCAGCAGCAGAAAACTAGCATCTCTCCCTATCCCTCTTACTGGCATTCAGCTGCTGCAAGTTTTAACGGTTCCAATAAATTCCACCCCTCATTTCTAGGTTTCTCTTACTTCTACTGTTCAGCCCACTGTGTGCTCCCTTGGCACAAACCCCCATTCACACCATAACACTGCAGCTTTCCTTCCTTTCCTGTCCCTCTGCCTGCTGCTGGGAATGCTTCTGGTTAGAGAGCGGCAGAAAGGGCCGGTAAATATGTAATTTACCGGCCCCTTCTTTTTCTGAATGAGCACAGTAAGTCATCGGTACTGATTGCTTCTGTGTCCATTCATATCTGAAGCATAGTAAATGGTGTTTACGATGTTTCAGCTTGTGAATGAACAGGAAGCCGCTCTGTACAGAGCACCACAAATTCATTTACTGCCCAGTGCAGTTAAGGCTGCAGAAAAAGGAATTAAAGAATCTTTGTCCTCATTTCCATTGGCTCAAAACTGAGATATCAGGTGTCTGTTAAGATCCCTGATATTTCACCAAAGCTCCCCACCAGGCCTCCTAAAAAAAAAATAAACATTGTAACATATAAATAAAAAAAAAAGCTACTGCCACCATCCACTGCCCTACTGACACTGTTCACTGCTCTGACTTACACTATCCACTTTTAAGGTAGACGAAGGTTATATTCTTCTAATTTTTACTATTTACTTAGGCCTTGCTAGTAAAAAAAAAAAAAAAAAAAAAAAAAAAGAAGGAGGGAGGGAGGGGGGGTGTCAAACCCCAGTGAACTTTGATCTCTCATGTTCTTTAGGTAGATCCTCACCAGTCACAGGCTGCCTACCTGTGTTGTAGGCCATTTGGGTCCCATCAGAAGCCTGGATGAAAAACTCCAAGTTAGCAATACACACATCCTGCCTTATTGTTAGGACATGAAACTGCTAGATGCTCAGTCCCTTGCACTGCACAAGTGAAAACCAATGGTATGACAATAAAGCTGCACAGTTTAATATCTACTGGGGCACCTTGACTGCATAGGCTATTTTCTGAAAAAGGTGAACTTAGCGTTAAACTCCATCATTTAAATATATTAGCAGACTGGACGGGGGGAAATTTACCTGAGATAATTCTGGCTGGGAGAGTCCCGGCTGACTCATTTGGGAAGGCTGGCTCATGGATATATAACCTTGTGTTAGAGGGCCTTGAGAGAATGGCTGAGATACAACATCCTGGCTGGCTTGGCTGTTGGGCATGTGTCCCTGGCTCATGCCTTGAAGTCCTATGCCTCTCTGTTTCTGGCGTCCACCACGGGTTGCCTTTCCTTTAGGCATGCCCCGACCTGGGGGGGGGGGGGGGGGGGGGGGGGGGGGGGGGGAAAGAAAGAATAAAGCGCTATAGATAAATATATAAAAACATCAGGTTGTGACACCGACAAACAGAAAACATAAGCCAGCTCCTGTAAACAACTCCTATACCTAGCATGCCTCAGTTTTTTTGAGAATGCCACACCAAATGGAATAGCAACACAAAGGTGTGCGACCCGTGTTTCTCAATGTACTCTAAAGAAAAATATTTTTTAAGTACAATTTTTTTTTTCTATTTTCCACTGAGGGACACAGGAATTCCAGCACTTGGGACGTCCAAAAGCAGTCTAACGGCAAAGTATTTATGTTCTGCATTCTGTGTGAGAAGTCTCAAGATGTTACATTATATACACTGTAAGAGTTACCCTCCAGTTAAGACCTTGGGAAGAAAAGAATCATTATCTAAAGAATTCCTGAGAAGTATTACTAATATAGCAACACAAAACTCCTAGGCAACTGTGCTACTATATTCAGTTGAAGTACAATTGTATTCATAAATGGGAAGTTAAATAGATTAGTGCCCAAATGGGTTATAAGGAGAGTTTTTTATGTAGATTATTCATGTATTTAATTACCGTATTTTTCGCTCCATAAGACACACTTTTTTCCCCCCAAAAAAGGGGGGGAAATGTCAGTGCGTCTTATGGAGCGAATATGGAGCGGCCGGTCCGGTATTTCCACTGCCGCCGTGTCAGAATACCGGGCCGGCCGCTCAGCTCTACAACGGGACCTTATAGAGATGACGGCTGACCTTTGGGGAGGGAGGGGGAGCGGGTACCTGAATTTGACAGATACCCGCTCCCACTTCCGTGGAGTTGTTCTTTCATCTTACCCGTTCCTCTATCCAGCGGCGCGGTCTTCCCGGCTTCTGTAGTGTGGGCATGACAGACGGGTGCCAAGTGCGCATGCGCAAGAAGCGGTGCTTTTTGTGAATGGTAAGGCGGCACCTGGGACACATGACAGATCCCAGAAGCCGCCGGACCAATCACAAAGCGCAAGTGCTTCTTGCTCATGCGCACTGGGCACCCGGCTGTCATGCCGAGCGCCATTACAGAAGCCGGGAAGACAGCGCGCGGCTGGATAGAGGAACAGGTAAGATGAAAGAACAACTCCGCGGAAGTGGGAGCGGGTATCTGTCAAATTCAGGTACCCGCTCCCCCCCTCCCCAAAGGTCAGCAGTCATCCCCTGTGCTGTCCGCAGTCTCTGGTCATCCCCTGTGCTGTCCGCAGTCTCTGGTCATCCCCTGTGCTGTCCGCAGTCTCTGGTCATCCCCTGTGCTGTGTCCGCAGTCTCTGGTCATCCCCTGTGCTGTGTCCGCAGTCTCTGGTCATCCCCTGTGCTGTGTCCGCAGTCTCTGGTCATCCCTGTGCTGTGTCCGCAGTCTCTGGTCATCCCTGTGCTGTGTCCGCAGTCTCTGGTCATCCCTGTGCTGTGTCCGCAGTCTCTGGTCATCCCTGTGCTGTGTCCGCAGTCTCTGGTCATCCCTGTGCTGTGTCCGCAGTCTCTGGTCATCCCTGTGCTGTGTCCGCAGTCTCTGGTCATCCCTGTGCTGTGTCCGCAGTCTCTGGTCATCCCTGTGCTGTGTCCGCAGTCTCTGGTCATCCCTGTGCTGTGTCCGCAGTCTCTGGTCATCCCTGTGCTGTGTCCGCAGTCTCTGGTCATCCCTGTGCTGTGTCCGCAGTCTCTGGTCATCCCTGTGCTGTGTCCGCAGTCTCTGGTCATCCCTGTGCTGTGTCCGCAGTCTCTGGTCATCCCTGTGCTGTGTCCGCAGTCTCTGGTCATCCCTGTGCTGTGTCCGCAGTCTCTGGTCATCCCTGTGCTGTGTCCGCAGTCTCTGGTCATCCCTGTGCTGTGTCCGCAGTCTCTGGTCATCCCTGTGCTGTGTCCGCAGTCTCTGGTCATCCCTGTGTGGCTGTGTCCGCAGTCTCTGGTCATCCCTGTGCTGTGTCCGCAGTCTCTGGTCATCCCTGTGCTGTGTCCGCAGTCTCTGGTCATCCCTGTGCTGTGTCCGCAGTCTCTGGTCATCCCCTGTGCTGTGTCCGCAGTCTCTGGTCATCCCCTGTACTGTGTCCGCAGTCTCTGGTCATCCCCTGTACTGTGTCCGCAGTCTCTGGTCATCCCCTGTACTGTATCCGCAGTCTCTGGTCATCTCCTGTACTGTGTCCGCAGTCTCTGGTCATCTCCTGTACTGTGTCCGCAGTCTCTGGTCATCTCCTGTACTGTGTCCGCAGTCTCTGGTCATCTCCTGTACTGTGTCCGCAGTCTCTGGTCATCTCCTGTACTGTGTCTGCAGTCCATTAGTTCAGAATTTTTTTTCCCCTGTTTTCTGCCTCTAAAACCTAGGTGCGTCTTATGGTCAGGTGCGTCTTATGGAGCGAAAAATACGGTAAATCTGTGCAAGACTTGCTATATGATACATTATACTGTAAGGACCTCTAGCCATTCTATAACAAACACATTTATTCCTACTTTGAATTTTATGTCTATTCTACAACAAAGGTGTACCAAGCATGAGGTGTGCAACCAAATTTAAAGCAACAGAACAATCCAAACAGGAAGACTCAAAACAGACCTGGGAAGAGACACAGAATGCAGTAACACTGAAAAAGGGCAAAGGGCTCTTAGAATATAAAATGCCAGACACAAGGGCTTTGCCTGTGAGCCAAAAAGGTTGACTAGGGCCCCTGAAGGAGACACATTACCCATCTGGATGTGAAAAAAAACAGCCCTCCACATCATGCAGAAGGCTTTCCAAAAGGGACTGGCATACCTCTGGCTTCAAGCCCCGCAGCTGGAACAAGACATAGGCTCAGAATGCCATTGTGTATGAACTAAGGAATGGATGAAGGAGCAGGGTGGGATTCCTTTGAACTTCCACAGACCTCCTACACTGAAGGTAGGCAAGTACTCTGGCTCTAATATTTTTAGAATGTGAACGAAAAAACCCACTATGATCACTGTAGTACACTGCCAGAACTACAAATTCAGTGCTGAACTCTCAGTGCTTACAGTACTGTGTGGGCTGAATGTAATTCAGTTTTACCTAAAAGAGCCAAAAGGTGGGACATGCATCAATAGAGGCAATGTATTTTTTATACAGCAAATGGCCCAAAATTGTTTTCACCTCGGAGATCAGCTGTAAAGCTGGTTTGTCTCTTGGTGGTTTACTTGTTCAGGTGGCTCACTGGTGCATCTACCATGTGAAAGGACCACAGATTAGTAAATTCCTTCTTAAAAAAAAATACTCAGAGGAAGGGAGTTAAAGTCGAGCAGCAGGAGGGTCTTTTATAGCTGTAGGATCTCTAAAATACCAAAGGCTTGGGATGGCAGGCTGATCCTCCAATTACAAGGTAGAATGTACTATATCTTATTAGTCTGAAACAACCACCTGCATATCTGGCTCAGCTTCAGGAGACTGCAGGGACCCAGCCTCAAAAGGTAGACTGCTAGGACTCTACATCTGAATCCGAGACAAAAGCCACAAGGTCAATTTGAGCTGTGAACTCATATTGTATGTTCAAATCCAGACTATACAGTATACAAGATTGCACTTGGGAACTCTGCAGGCAGAATGCACCTAAGCACAAGCAAATAGAAGGTCTTGCGGACATGAGGGATTCTTTTGCCACATCAGTGACAGCCATACACTGATCAAAGTTAGGCTGGTCTAGCAAAACCAGGCCTAATTTTATTGTGTGGCCTCCTCCATTCGACAAAAGTTGATTTAGACTACGTCAGTCGAAAGGACATGCGGTTGAGCCTTTGATCATTGTAGTCTGATGGATTTGGGTGTTGTTCCTTATGGGGAGTGTATGGGCTGAGGTCACCTGTGGTAGCCGGAGTGTCCTTTGTGTGTCTTTGCAAGATATGTTGGGATCCCAAAGAGGGATTGCATTACAACTAAGCCCAAAGTGAGGCAAGGCCTAAAGTACTAACAAACCGAGGTAGCTTGCGCTGATGAGGATTTTAGACAGCTAGAGATGGCTGAGCCTCTGTAGATGGGCAGTGGAACAGACCAGAGATCCATGTGGGTCTTCAAGAACATGAGAAGCAGTTTCCTCCAAGCTGAATAGTAGGAAAGAGCATCAACCCAGTTCTCAATCCCTGAGCCTTAAGGGCTCGTTCACACTAGGCTGTTTTGCCAACGCTTGCCAAACGCCCCTATAGCGTTTGGCAAGCGTTGGTCCGGCGTTTGCGGAGCGTTATTAATGCTCGGCAAACGCTCCGCAAACGCCGCATGCGCGGTTTAGCAGCGGTTGCTAGGCGTTTGCCGAGCGTTAATAACGCCCCACAAACGCCTATAATGCAGTTTGAGTGGTGTTACCGCTCCGCAAACGCCCCGCAAACCGCACCGCAAACGCCGGCCGGGCGTTTGCGGAGCGGCACCATATAGACGAGGATAGGAGGCTTCAAAGCCTCCTGACTCGTCCAGAGGCGTCCGTTTTGCCGCGACGCAACGCAAACGCTCCCGTTAGAACAGCACCATGCGCTGTAATGTGCAGAATTGGCAGAGGCGTTTGAGAAGCGGTAAAAACGCTTACCAAACGCCTCTCTGCCGCCTGCACACAAGGCTAGTGTGAACGTAGCCTTATTCTTACCGTGGTAAACCGATGGAGGTGGGAATTTTAAAACTGTGCCCACGAGCGGAACACTGAGAAAGCTCCCAGTGCTTCAGCACAACCAGCCTCTCACTAAAAGACAAATGACACCTAGGGCTGTGCTTTAGCTCTGGACTCAGAAAGCACTCTGTGGCTAACAGCACACTGAGGTCTGGAAAACGAAACACAAAGCCCAGTGCCCAAAGGTCATGCTCTAGGTTAGTAAGTCCAGGTACAACCTCCAAAGTTAGCGCCGAGGAACAGTTAAGAGTTAGGATCGCAGTACACAGAGGAGCCTTGACGTAGACACCTTTGGCATACGCATATATTGGCAAATGTATGCAAACAACATCCTCTGTTTTTAACATGAATTGTTAAGACAGGGTCAATTTGGTTGATTTGCAGGCTAGCTGGTAAATGTGCTGGGAAATATTTTGCTTGTTTGTAATGCTACGGAAATACTGATCTGCGTAGCTACTGTGCAGAGGACAGCTCAAGCAGTGGTATAGCAAGGAATCTTGATTGAAGTCACAGGGGTAAAAACTACCAGTATTGTAGCTAGAATCTTGATTAAAGTCACCAAGGAACAATACCTCGAAGTTAAGGCTAGCAAAAATGTAACTATTTCAGTAGAACTGAAGAAAAGACATCCTACCTCCTAGGTAACTAGCAAGAAATCAAAGCATTCTGTGATGAGGAGTAGTTTGCAGGGAGCTGGCTCTTGTTTGTTTGCACTGTTCAAAACTCCAGTAGTGGTAGTAAAGACTTTCTGAATTTGAGTCCTTTAATGGACAAACATTTTCATTGAGACAACCTATTATTGAACATACAAGCAAGACCTACCTGCAGTTGGTCCATTGGCTTGACCAAAGTAGCCCGGTGGGGGCATTGGAGGCATGACCAGATTGAAAGGTATAGGAATGTTCATAGCAGGTACATGGCTGGGTCCCGAACTAATCATGCCTATCTGATCATGCGTTTGAAAGTACATGTTTTTGAGGGTCGAGCTAGAAGAAAAACAAAGTGAACACATAAAAAAAAAGTTAACATAGAAAGTGGAACAGAAGGTCATCATGCATCTCTAGTCTCATTCTCCTAATCATTTGGCTTGACACTGGATCTCTGTGTTGTAGTAGTGCAGTGGAGAAAAACACCAAAAGGGAATAAATGGATTTGGATAGGGGTGAAATACAAAATTTGAGTTATTCCAAAGCAGTCATAAAAATGTGTGGGAACTTTCCAACCTAGTAAAATATAGAGAAAGCTAGTGACCAGGAACCTGGTATGGTTTAGTGTAATCCACCTTGCATTACAAACTTAACTTCTACAAATAATCATATTTTTGGCATCAGAGGCTACAAACATGATCCCTATATTTCGTTGTAGCCCCAGTGATTCTCTTTTATGTAAAAGTAATCCAGGCGAATAAGTAGCTGCTGGCCACCCCCAACCTGCTGCCCCCTTTACAGGCTCTCCCAAGCGAAAGGGGAGCCCAGTATGGATGCGACTGACGGCATTCGGCTCCCGCCACACAGGGAGAGGAACTGAAGTTCTTCCCACTGCGTGATGTTTGAAACAGCAAGCAACAATGATTTAGTCACTTCCTATTCCGGCTTTGTTTACTGGCCAGTTACCAGCCAGTGAAGCAGACCGATCTGTGTCTGATCAGCTGCACTGGAGCCCAAAGGAGAGATAGAATTCCTTGTAACAGCAATAAAAGTGATCAATTTTTTTTTTTAAAGAAACATTTTCACTGTCAGACTTTGCCTGTAAGGCAAGTGGTTAAAATAAATTAGAAATATTCAGCAAAATGACTGATGAATAAACCTCAATTCCATGAATAGCCCCTAAACTGAAACCTACTCTCAGGATTCTACAGCTAGCTGTGTTGCCTTCAACGAAGAGAAAACAAACATTTAAACAGCTACATCAGTTAAAAGTGCAAGAAGTTACCTTGACTGCTTCGATCATAAACAGACCCAGGAATTATAGCTTCTCGAGCATCATACATGGCAGTTGTCATAAAGCGGGCACCCTGCAAATAAAAAAATTATTAAAGCTTCAAAAAAAGGTACCATTAAGATCTATGACGCAAACTATCCATAAAATATACAGATAATAGCGCAAATAATTAGGTCTAAATGAATTTTTTCCTCCTCCCTCTCTTAGCAGTCAATATTTTTCATTTGCAGCACAAATAGCGTGTATTGATCGACTATGCCAGGCAGAGCTCTGTGAGCTCATCTCCGCATGCACAAGAATGGCGAGACTAAAAGAGCAGACCAAAGTGCCACTTTAAACTCTACGTAAATTCAAATGCTGTTAAAAAAAAGCTCCTTTTTTGCTTTGTTTATGTAGCTGTACAAAGGCTTTTTTTTGTATTGGTAAATTATTCCTAAAGGTCTGTTTATCTTGCCAGTTTCTGCTCGGTTTCTGAGGTCTTTTTTATTGAGTGACCACCAACTCCCAATTTAGTAGTATGGTGGTCTCCCTATGCTTCAAACCAACCCACTGCATTAAAACCCTCTTGCTGGTTGACGGACAACTGTTCCTACCATTTAGCAGCTAAGAAATTTTGCAGGGCAGCTTGGCCTATTACATAAAGGGATCTACTGGTAGGATCAACAGGTTAACAAAGCAAGGTTGCTTGCACTGCTTTAGTGATACAAGTGAAAAACTGGATGAAGGAAAGGTAATTTTCAATGCAATATGACCTGTGTCGCAATTGTATAAAACTGGATTATTTTTTTTTGTTTACAAACGTTTTTATTTTTGTTTATTATCAAGAAATAGACTACAAAATAGCAGTACAACATAAAGTATGATATACAACAGGAACAAGGCATGTCTGTAATGTATATTTCAAATAGTACAACCATGAAAAGTAAAAAAAGAAAAAAAAGAGAAAAGAAATTAAGTACATGAGCAATATAGGTAGAAAGGTAGGCAGAGCTATATAGCTACCAGAAAAAATGAATCAATCAACCAAAACATGAGTGGACCTTAGTCAGTTAGTAAATGCCTAAGAGGTCTCCAAATTTCCCATTTTCTGTCAAATAAGTGCATCTTATCCAATAAGGTGTAATGAATTCTCTCCATGAGCATCACTGCATCAACTCTATGCAGAACTGTGCCCATTGGTACCGTGAGGGATTTCCAATGGCGCTGTATTATTTTTTTTTCGCTACAAAAGTGGACTTACCCTTTAAATGCTGGAATTATGTATTGGAATTATGTCAGTGGAATACTGAAATACTGCACAGGGACAGAATTTAAAAAAAAAAAATTAAAAAATTGTAAATGCATTGAAAACCAATTAATCTGTTCCGGGGTCAAAAAAAAAAAAAAAAAAAAAAAAAAAAAAGTCTTATTTGTTCAAAACTCTTTGTAACATGCACTTTAAAGGCATGGGGCCAGTACTATAAACTACCCAGGCGCAATGCATCCTGGGGAAACTTGCTTCGTATTGCGAAAAAAAATTTGTAAACGGAGGCATTATGTTCAATGGATTTTCATTTGTAAAAACCGAAAATTAAGTTAAAAAAGGCGTTCGTGAAACCGAGGTGCGCCTGTATTATATTGTTAAGTTCTAATGGGCAGGGCCCTCTGTTTTTCCTCTTGTACCAAATTGTATTGTAACTGTAATGTCTACCTTCATTTTGTAAAGCGCTGCGCAAACTGTTGGTGCTATATAAATGCTGTATAATAATATATACTGTATGTATATATATTCCTCAAACACTTTTGTCCAAGGGACAAAAGAGCACTGCATACAGAGCCCAGTGCTTAAAAGGTCACATTCCAGTTTATTCCTCCCTGTTCATGAGCATACTCACTAGTGTGTCTGCAGGTGCAGAGTCCAAGGTCAGAGAGTCCATATGGTAATACAGGCTTAGCTTTTTACTATACAAGGGTGGTTTAAAAAAATATATCTCTCTTTATTGTGGAGTGTTGTCCAGGAATTAAATAATTCCAATATAGGAGATAAATATACACGCACACTTTATTTTTTTTCTTTCTTCAATCTCATTTTTAATCCCTACATTTATATAATAAATGTATATTTTAATCTGATTGTATAATTCAGGTTAAATAATTTTTATAACTAATTTTTATATATATGCATATAGGTTCAATGGTGATCTAGTTACAGTGTTTTGATTTTGTTTAATTGCTGTCTTAATCAAGTGATTTATTTATGCAATAAGCCCCACTGGTCCTTTAGCGGTTAAATCACTTTGTTAGTAGTGCATTACCACCAATTTTTTTTTTTGAAAATTTCTAGACGCACTTAGCGGAAAACCAAAAAGGATTTTTTTAAAAAATATATCCAATAATGTAAAAAAAAATATTATATATAAAAATATATATATATTAATATATATATTATGTATATATATATATATAAAAAATATATTTAATGGATATGATATATATATTAATAATAAAATGAAATATATATATGGATATAATTATTTTTTTATATATGATTATGGATATATTATTATTATAAATTGAATAATAAATATAATTTTATAATATTTTGAATAAAATATATATTTATATAATTATATTTATATAAATATTTATATTTTATATTATATATTTTTTGGATATATATATTTTTTATTATATATATATTATATTTATATATAAATTTATATATAAATTTTTTTTTAATTAAGATAATATTTTAAATTTAATAAATATTAATATAATATTTGGATATTATTTAATATAAATATATTTATTATAAATATTATTTATATTTATTTTTATATATAAATTTATTTTATATAATATAATTATATTATAAATTATTATTATTTAATTATATTATAAATTTTATTATTAATATGATATATATATATTTTATATTATATTATTTTTTTATTTATATTATTTAATTTTATAAATTTTAAATATATAATTAATTTTATAATTTAAATTTAATATTATATATTTTATTTTATTTATATTTTTATATTTAATTAATTATTTATATAAATAAATAAATTTTATATATTATATATTAATTTATTATTTATTTTATTAAAAATATATTATATTTAATTATATATATTTTTAATATAAATATATAAAAGATTATAAAATATATATTTTAATATATATTTTATTAATATATTTATTTATAAATATAAAATATATTAATATATTATATATATATATAAAATTATATATATTAAAATATAATTAATATATTATTTTATAATAATATAATAAATATTTTTTATATATATATATATATATATTTTAAATTTATATATATAAATAAATATTTTAAAAATATATAAATTTAATTTATAAAAATTAATTATTAATATTAAATTTATTATTAAAAATAATTTTAAGTATTTATTATATTTAATATATATATATAATTTTTTAAATAAAATAAATAATATATTTATTTTATTTTTTAAATATATATAAAAAATTTATATTATAATATAATAATTTATAAATAATATTTATTTTATAATATATTATATTAAAATATTTATATTATTTATATTTATATATAATATATATTAGATTATTTTTAAAAATTTTATTGGATAAATATTTATATATTATTTATAGATTATATAATTTTATTTTTTTAAAAATATATAAATATAAATATTATTTTATATAATATATAATATAATATTTTTTATATAATATATATTAATTTTTTTTAAATAATATTAAAATATATAATATCAAGCATGTGATGCTCCCTAAAACTATCCTGGGGTAAGTAAACAGGTGTTGGCAATATATAAAATCACACCTGAAAGCAGTTTATAAAAAGGAGAGACGTTCACTTAAAACCTTTGCATTGTGTATTCTGTATTGCCACACTAAGCATGGAACAACAGAAAGAGGAGAACAGAACTGTCTGAGGACCTGAAACCAAAATTGTGGCAAAATATCAACAATCTCAAGGTTACAAGTCCATCTCCAGAGAACTAGATTTGCCTTTGTCCACAGTGCGCAACATTATCAAGAAGTTTGCAACCCATGGCACTGTAGCTAATCCCTGTCGTGGACGGATGAGGAAAATTGATGAAAGATTGCAACGCAGAATAGTCCGGATGGTGGATAAGCACCCCAAACATGTTCCAAAGACATTCAAGCTGTCCTGCAGGCTCAATATCAGTGTCAGCGCGAACTATCCGTCGACATTTAAAAATAAATAAACATTTAGGCTATGGCAGGAAACCCAGGAGGACCCCACTGCTGACACAAAGACATAAAAAAGCAAGACTACAGTTTAAAAATGTACTTGAGTAAGCCAAAAGCCCTTCTGGAAAACGTAATTTTGGACAGATTGATTAAATTACCAATAATAAAGCTTTTCGGTAAAGCACATCATAAAAAACTGTTTAAACCGAAAAACGGGGAATGAGGCCTACAAAGAACAAAAAACACAGTAACCTACGGTAAAATATGGTAAAAAAAAGGTTAATAAAAAAATGATGTTTTGGGTTGTTTTGCTGCCTCTTGGCACTATAATATGCCTTGACTGTGTGCAAGGCATCATAAAAATCTGAGGATTACCAAAGGGATTTTGGGTCCACTGTAGGGCCCAGTGTCAGAAAACTGGGGGTTTGCGTCCAAATATTTGGGTTATTCCAGCAGGACAATGACCCCAAACATACGTTCAAAAAGCACTCAAAATGGATGGCAAGAAGCGCTGGAGAGTTCTGAAATGGCCAGCATATGAGCCCAGATCTAAATCCCATTGAACACCTTGGAGAGATCTTAAAATTGCTGTAATTAAAAAAATGTTCCTTCCAATAATAAGAGACCTGGAGCTGTTTGCAAAGGAAAGTGGTCCTAATTAAATTCCGGGTGAGAGGTGTCAGAAGCTTATTGATATAAATCAAAAAAATTATAGGAAGCGACTGATTTCAGTTTATGTTTTCCAAAGGGTGTGCAAAAAAATATTAAGTTAAGTTAAGCCAATACTTTTGTCCAGCCCATTTTTGGGGTTTTGTGTGACATTATGTCATATTTGCTTTTCTGCCTCTGTTTTATATTTGTTCCAATACATACAAAGGGAATAAACATGTGTATAGCAAAACATGTGTTAATATAAATACCTTTTTTTTGTGAAATACTATTGATTTTCAGGAAAAATATCAAGGGTGCCAACAATTTCGGCCATGACTGTATACATACACACACACACACACACACACACAAACACAACCACAATAATTTAAAGGATAAATTTTCCTTTTGACAAAACAAGAAAAAAAAATCAATGTACTAGCACATCGCTCACAGCGCCATGGTAGTTAATTTGGAACTACAAGCCGATAGCCCACTAAGGCTGTCAGGACTTGTAGTTTTTATCATTCACAGACTAATGTGAATGAGTGATGTGATGTGACCGGGCAGGTGGAGCTCCGCAGAGCCACATTAAAAAAAAAAAAAAAATTTGACAGCTAGTGGGAGGAGAAGATACCCTGCTAGCAGTCAAAGTGGAGGCTGGCCCTTTCATAACATGTGACATCCCGAATAGGGGTGTAACATGTTATTTCAGCAAAACACCGATAACCCTATTTTCAGTGCATCACTACTTTATATCGGTAAGTTATTTATAGTGACCTTGAATCAGGGTTCTGGTGACTTTAACAAAGGGGGGACATGCCCCGAAATGTGTCATGACAAACCTGCAAACGGTGTCTCCACGAGGCGGCCATCTCCCTCTGCATCGTCAGAGCTGGCAGGAATCCTAGCCACAAGTGTGGTGTGTCTATTGCAAGGTCTGTATATTACAGCAGTGTGCCTCAGCTTCTTCCCGTACAGCCACTTTCACAACACTCTGGTGGGGTCCTCCACCCCGGAGACTATGATGGCCTCATGGTGGACAATTGTAGACTCATTTCCATAGGAGGAAGACATTCATACCGCTCTGCCTCCCTGATGCTATCACCAGGACCGGCTCAGCTTGATTTTTGTGAAATGCTCATTACTCACATAAAAATACATACAATAAAAAGGTGTAACGGTGCTATGTATTGCACTTCCTTTTGTGTTATTTTTTCTAGTTCCTCTTTCCCTTAAAGTGTAACTAAACCAACAATAGTAAAATCAGTCTGTATATGCAGTAAAGCCTTCTTGTTATGCCCACTGTGTAACCTAAGAAATTAATCATCCACATTGTGTAAAAAGGCTGTGTGACCCTGTCTTCCTGCCCTTCTTTTATAATTCAATAAAAGTATTCCTGTCCCCAATCCATATGCTGATCTTACAGAACCCTAGGAGTCACTCTGCACATGCTCAGTTTAGGTTGTATTGCTAGAGTGTTTTCTTTTTCTTTACACGTGTGCATGCGATCAGCACAGGGCCAATCAGCGCTGTCCAGAGGGTCAGGGGTTGTGCAGCCCCTAGTCATATACGAAGAGACTATGCAGGATTTTCCACAGTTGAAATGGTAATCCACCAAAACAAGAATGTTCTTGTGAGGGGGGGGGAATAGTACCATGGGTAGATCTGGGGAAATAGCCTGCTTTTTAGTTGGAGAATCTTGAATAGAATTGGGCAAAGGGTACTGCCTTGAAAAAGGCAACCTTTAGGCCTAGAACTCTCACAGGGAAATTCACTGTGAATGGTCACAATGTATGTACAGTATCTCAAAAGCTGTAAATGAAATATATAGCTCCAAAAAATGTAGCACACGGGAGTCCTTTCCTAACATGTCAAAAAGTGAGTTTAGACACATACTTACCGGATTAATGGTGTTTACAAGTTTGCGTGGTTTACTGAATTGCATGAGACTCTCCCGGAGATTGTTCAAAGGTCCCTCCACTAGAACTTTCTGCTCTTTGTAATAATTTAATAGATGATTCCATAGAGGCTGCTTTGATAATGCTTTTGGGTTGCCCACAATAATTACACCGTACCTGAAAGGAACATTAAACAAGAGTGTTAAAACCTCTTAAAGTTAAATATACAGACACAAAACAGAGAAAGATACTGCTGACCATGAGCTTCCACATTATAGCTAGCAGGAAAGTCAACCCTGATTAAAATACCTGTTAGGAGTACTTAAAAGAACATTGCCAGATACACATTGTTAATCTCTGCAAATACCCATTTAGATGTATTATGTCATTTTGGATTAGTCTCATCTGGAGTATGAACAACACAAATAAGGTTACTGAACTCTTACTGAGATTCCTAGAGAGGAGTGCTTTGATTTGGCAAGAGTAACACGGTTTATGTAATTCTTCTATGAGAAGTTTCATTTTATACATATTTTATACATACAGTCAGGTCCATAAATATTGGGACATCGACACAATTCTAACATTTTTGGCTCTATACACCACCACAATGGATTTGAAATGAAACGAACAAGATGTGCTTTAACTGCAGACTGTCAGCTTTAATTTGAGGGTATTTACCTCCAAATCAGGTGAACGGTGCAGGAATTACAACAGTTTGCATATGTGCCTCCCAATTGTTAAGGAACCAAAAGTAATGGGACAGAATAATAATCATAAATCAAACTTTCACTTTTTAATACTTGGTTGCAAATCCTTTGCAGTCAATTACAGCCTCAAGTCTGGAACGCAGACTTGAGGCTGTAATGGCCAAGTCAATCACCAGACGCTGGGTTTCATCCCTGGTGATGCTCTGCCAGGCCTCTACTGCAACTGTCTTCAGTTCCTGCTTGTTCTTAGGGCATTTTCCCTTCAGTTTTGTCTTCAGCAAGTGAAATGCATGCTCAATCGGATTCAGGTCAGGTGATTGACTTGGCCATTGCATAACATTCCACTTCTTTCCCTTAAAAAACTCTTTGGTTGCTTTTGCAGTATGCTTTGGGTCATTGTCCATCTGCACTGTGAAGCGGCGTCCAATGAGTTCTGAAGCATTTGGCTGAATATGAGCAGATATTGCCTGAAACACTTCAGAATTCATCCTGCTGCTTTTGTCAGCAGTCACATCAATAAATATAAGAGAACCAGTTCCATTGGCAGCCATACATGCCCACGCCATGACACTACCACCACCATGCTTTACAACCTCAAGATGTATAGTTGAATCAACGACACAATGTACCTCATGTGCAATCTTAGGGACATGCTCAAGTTTCACTCCTTTCAGTCAATTTCATTTGCGAAAGCGATGTGAGACTAAGGCAGGCCATATATATTTTTGTTCAACAAGTGGGGGATTACTCCCCCCGTGCTATTGTGTTCTGACGTTTGGGAAATGTTCTTGTTGTCAGAACACAATCAGTTTTGTGGCACTGATGGTTCAGAGAAAGCCTGAAAGGTGGTTGCACAGAATCCAAAAGACTTTTGTGCAAACAGGGTGCCCAAACAAAGACTGAAATTTGGCCATATGGTCAGCTTTGTGAAGCACTACAGATAATGTGTAGTACATATGCAAAAATTAACACCACTACTATATGAAACTAAAAGTAGAAATTTCAATCAGTGCTGCAATAGTTCTGATAAGAAAACTAAACAAAACAGCTTCAAGATATAGAACAGATATTTAGAAACAGGCTACACTTCCAAAGACTTAAACCATCTCAAGGTATGATGCTAGCATATTTTCTAGAAAATGTGGTAATGAAGTACCGTATTTTTCGCTCCATAAGACGCACCTGACCATAAGACGCACCTAGGTTTTAGAGGCGAAAAACAAGAAAAAAAAAATATTATGAACCAATGGACTGCAGACACAGTACAGGGGATGACCAGAGACTGCAGAGACACAGTACAGGGGATGACCAGAGACTGCAGACACAGTACAGGGGATGACCAGAGACTGCAGACACAGTACAGGGGATGACCAGAGACTGCAGACACAGTACAGGGGATGACCAGAGACTGCAGACACAGTACAGGGGATGACCAGAGACTGCAGACACAGTACAGGGGATGACCAGAGACTGCAGACACAGTACAGGGGATGACCAGAGACTGCAGACACAGTACAGGGGATGACCAGAGACTGCAGACACAGTACAGGGGATGACCAGAGACTGCTGACCTTTGGGGAGAGAGGGGGGGAGCGGGTACCTGAATTTGACAGGTACCCGCTCCCACTTCCGCGGAGTTGTCCTTCCCTCTTCTTCCTGGGCCGGCTTCTGTGACAGCCGGGTGCCCACTGCGCATGCGCGAGAAGCGCTGCCCTTTGTGAATGGCCCGGCGCCTTCTGGGACCTGTCATGTGTCCCAGAAGACACCGGATCATTCACAAAGCGCAGCACATGCGCAGTGGGAACCCGGCTGTCACAGAAGCCAGCGCGGGAAGACTGTGCAGCGCTGGAGCGAGGAACAGGTAAGGTCCTGCAGCAGAGAACAGCTGAGCTTCCGGCCCGGTGTTCTGACATGGTGGCGGGCAGAAATACCGGGCCGGCCACTTTATATTCGCTCCATAAGACGCGCTGACATTTTCCCCCCTTTTTTTGGGGGAAAAAAGTGCGTCTTATGGAGCGAAAAATACGGTAGATTCTGATGTTTAATATGGTATGTTACTAATAGATCTCTTGAACATATATCATGTATTCTGAATGCAAAGGTATGCAAGGAAAGCCCAGTGGCTAGTATTGAAAAGCATGTGCACATGTCCCAATACCATGTGGACACAAGGAAATAGAACTACAAACTCATTAAAGAATGGAAGTGACTTAGTGATTTTTGCCCATTACCAGCTATGCATCAGTACTTGCACAAAGTTAAAAGATTTCAGTTACCTTGCTCTGGTCAAAGCTACATTCAGAGACGACGGGGATCATTTAAAAATCCAATGCCCTGGTGCTCATTAGCTCTTACACAGGACAGAATAATAAAGTCCTTCTCTCGACCTTGAAATGCATCAACACTGGCAATTTCTACTTCCTGGTGGATAGAACAAATAATTTCACATTACACTATGCAAAACTGTACAAAGTATGTAACAATACTCAGGATTAGTTTTGTACCTGATACAGTTTGGTATGCAAGGAGCCACTGAACTGCATGTACTGCACTAAGTAGGACCTCTGGCCTTCATAGGGAGTAATTATCCCTATCTGATCTGGCTTGGCCCCTGCCTTCAGAAGTTTTGTTGTGATTTTCTCCACATTAGCCGCTTCAGTCCTAAAAGAGAAAATACAATACGATGCATGCATAAGTAAAAAGGAACTTATCTCCCCGCCGTTTTCATGTGCAATCCTGAACGCCTGATCGGTGTGCAACAAGCTTACCGCCATCCACGACCTCTTTGTTTCCCGCTCCCTCAACCTCCTAGCGATTACGGAAACCTGGATCCAGGCCACTGACTCTACCTCCCCTGCTGCACTCTCCTACGGAGGTCTCACCTGGACCCACTCACCCAGGCCCAACGGTCGTAAAGGTGGTGGGGCTGGTCTGCTCCTGTCACCGCAGAGCACCTTTCCGAGTCCTCCCAAACCCCCACTCCCTATCCTTCGAGGCCCACTGCGCCTGACTATTCTCCCCAACCCCCCTGAAGATTGCTGTGATATACCGGCCTCCTGGATCCATATCCCGCTTCCTGGATGACTTTTCCTCCTGGCTACCCTCCTTCCTCTCCTCTGAGATACCCACCATCATCCTTGGGGATTTCAACATCCCTGTCAACCTCGACAACCCGGCCACATCCCATCTCCTCCACTTAAACTCCTCCTTTGCACTTGCACAGTGCATACAATCCACCACCCACTCCGACGGTAATCCTTGATCTCGTCTTCTCCAACCGCTGCGCTCCCCACAAAACCTCACTAAACACCCCCTTCCCTCTCTCTGACCATAACCGGATTACCTTCTCTATCTCCTTGTCCTCCAACGCCTACCCCTCCAAATGTCACACTACTACCAGCCGTAACCTCTGCAACCTTAACCCTGCCCCCCTCCACTCTGCAGCTGATGAACTCCACGACAGCATCCTCCCCCTGTCCTGCCCTGACTTGGCTATGACTGCCTACAACAACGCGCTGTCAACAGCCCTTGACTCACTAGCGCCTTTAACCACACGCAACATCAGACCCCGACCGCTCCAGCCCTGGCAGACTGATCACACCAAAACCCTAAAACGACAGTCGTACCCTGGAGCGACTATGGCGCAAAGCCAAATCCCAACAAGCCTTCACCTGCTACAAATCTGCCTTCCACACCTACACCTCCTCCCTCCACGCAGCCAAACAAGCCTACTTCCTGACCCTCATCAAGGCCCTCTCCTCCAATTCTCGCCGACTCTTCTCCACCTTCAACTCTCTACTCTCGCCACCTCCACCCAGCACCTCACTCACTGCCCTTGAGATTGCCAACTCAAAAACAAGATTGACACAACTCGCAAGGACATCGCCGCAACTCACACGCCCTCTCTCAACCTGTCCCCCTCTCACACAGCTACCCCCTCATCCCCCCTCTCCCTTGAAATAATCCGCAGGGACTTCGTCGCTGCTTAAACTCCCTCCAACCCTGTTCCCCCTCACTCAGCTACCCCCTCATCACCCCTCTCCTACGGCCCCACCACTGCTCTGACCTCCACTTCCACCCCACCTTTCATTCTCATACTGAAGCCCCCCAACACTTCACACCTTTGACCTTACTACCATCGAGGAAGTCTCAAGATCCTCTCTGATGCCCGCCTCACCACCTGCCCCCTCGACCCTATCCCCTCACAACTCCTACGACCTCCCTCCCCCTCCATCCTACGCTCCCTCACCCACATCTCTCCCTCTCCTCCGGCACTTTCCCCTCCCCTCTGAAACATGCACACATCACCCCCATACTTAAAAAGCCCTCCCTGGACCCCAATGACCCAAACAACCTCAGACCCATCTCCCTGCTCCCATTTACATCCAAACTCCTCGAGCGCCTAGTCTACACCCGCCTATGCTCTCACCTCAACGACAACAACCTCCTCGACCCCCTACAGTCCGGCTTCCGTCCCCTACACTCCACCGAAACTGCCTTACTCTCCAACAACCTGCTAACCACCAAAGCTAATGGCCACTATTCAGTGCTCCTCTGTTGGGGTCCCTCAAGGCTCCATCCTCAGGCCCCTTCTCTTCTCCATCTACACCTCCTCCCTTGGCCAACTCATACACTCTCGCGGCTTCAACTACCACCTATATGCCGACGACACACAAATCTATCTCTCAACCCCACACCTAGTGCCCCTCAGTCTCTGCCCGAATCACACACCTACTGAGCGACATATCTGACTGGACATCGCTCCACTTCCTTAAACTGAACCTCTTAAAGACCGAGTTTCCAGTCTTCCCCCACAGCCCGGACACCACCCCCCCCTTTGACTTCTCCATCATGTCCAACAACACCACCATCAAACCCACCCCGCAGGCCAGAGTACTTGGTGTCATTCTGGACTCCAACCTATCCTTCCAGCCCCAAGTCCAATCCTTAACAAGCTCGTGCAGACTCCACCTCCGCAACATTGCCAAAATACGCACGTTCCTAACCCCAGAAACCACTAAACAGCTCATCCACTCCCTCATCATATCACGACTCGATTAGTACATCTCCCTCTTTACTGGCCTGCCTCGCCGCTGGCTATCCCCGCTTCAGTCGATCCTGAATACGGCAGCCAGACTCATTCACCTTTCCAACCGCTCCATCTTCGCCACCCCCCTCTGCCAATCCCTCCACTGGCTTCCGATTGCGCAGCGGATCAAATTCAAAATCCTAACACTGACATACAAAGCCGTCCACCACACTGCCCCGAACTACATCACTGACCTAATATCCAAGTACCACCCAGCACGCACACTCAGCTCCTCACAAGACCTCCTTCTCTCTAGTTCCCTGATCTCCTCCTCCCATGCCCGCCTCCAGGACTTCTCCAGGGTGTCACCCATCCTCTGGAACTCCCTGCCCCAACCCATCAGATTATCACCTACTCTCCTCTCCTTTAGGCGCACCCTGAAAACCCATCTCTTCAGGGAAGCCTACCCCACCCCCTGCTAACTTTCCGACCTCCTCCACTCTTCCTACCACTCCATCCCCCACAGCTATCTCCTCCTGTGCCACCATCCCCTCCCTCCTAGATTGTAAGCTCGAAAGAGCAGGGCCCTCAATCCCCTCATGTTTTGCATTGTATTGTTCTGTCACATGTTCTGTCCCCCTTTGTAATGTACAGCGCTAAGCGAACTATCGGTGCTTTATAAATACTGTATAATAATAATAATAACTGAAAGGAGAGTTGTCTTCTACTGTGACGGAAGAAAATGTTATCGCTAACATGTATGCATCAGTATTCTGAAAGCCTTGCAGTGGCAGCTCTTTTGTAGCATATGTCTCATGTAACCTGACAGCTCTCTTGAATCAGTACAGATTCTCCTGACATAGCAGTAGCAAAAGTACGTTTCTAAAGGTATAATTTCAGCTGGTAAGATTGTGGTCTACAGATACAAACCATGTAGGTCTCAAACATGCAGCTTTGTAAGCATAAATTATCCAAAAGGAAACTTTTCTTGCCTGGTAAATCAGGGAAATAAGTAAAAAGTATGGCTTGTACTCAACAGAAGCGAAGTGCGTGATGCTCTTTCTGGTTACGGGCCATGTCTGATTAGCTTTGGTCTGGAAAAACCCAAAATAAGCCATTCAAGACTGAATGCAGAAAAGCTCCCCCTCACACTTCTTATAAAACTTCTCTTCACCCACACACCCTCCCAAGTAACACGATCTTGAAATGCCAAGGAAAACACATATCTATAGATAAATAATTTGTAGTGAAATAGATCTATATAAAAATAATACATACTGTAGGCAATATTTCATAAACCCTTCATGCGGGAAGGTGAAACAAACCTTTATGCAGTTTTGTAGCTTTTGCATGGTTGCAGGTGTTCGTAAAACTGTACACATTATTGCAACTACGTAGCGTATCCTTGTTTAAGGAAAAATTGGGCCTTCATTTGGTAGCAAATGTCTGTACCATCTTTGTAAATTCCCAACGTATTCTTCTTTTCTCCAGAACAGGAGAATGAGTATGAGAGAATGTGTTTGAGGGGAGGGGAGGTGCAATGTTACAGAGTAATCACTGTAAAAAAAATTATCACAGGCCATCAGAGCAAAAACACAATCATGTAATCAGGTCTGGTATTCCCACCTTTCAAACATTAGTATGAATACTGAAGTTGTTGGTGACCGCTTATGCTGCATACTGGAATTGTGCCATTAAGGGAACATTTCCAGCACAAAGAAATGCCTCAAATATGCAGCTCCACAGAAGGTGGCCCACCTCTGTGATGCAAGTGTCAATGGGTAATCAAAGCAAAAGGTGTTCAGAGTCCAAAAGGTTACTCATTTTTAGCATCTTAAAATGCAAATCCCCTGCTTTATCCATGTTTACCTATTTAAATAGGAAGTGCCTGAACTTGCAATTTCTTCCTGTCCCTGGGTTACATAGAAAAAACATTGGTTTGTCCGGCTGTGGCCATTGGAAATCAAAACCCTTCTTCACACGATCCGCTGCAAAGAAAAATTAAATAAATTGCTAAAAAGTCACATCAACATAAACTTTAATTGTAAGAATATAGTTGCTTTACCTGCAGTGACGCCATTTTGAAGGGAGCCTTCATAGAAGATGTTTGATGGAAAAGCACTCAGTGCAGGGTGCATTCGATACTGAACCTGCAGGCGAATAGGTCTGATTCCCAGAACCACAAGTCTTTCAAACAAAGACTGGGACAGGCCAGCCTTAGCAGCTTTTTTACACATCACAACAGGTCCAAGCTGACAGTGATCTCCCACCAAAATTAGCTGCAACATAAAAGATATTACACGTAGTTCTAAAAACAATTCACACAATTATCTCTGCTTTTCAATATGTGCCACTAAAGAGCGAGGCAGGATACCAGTCACAACCAAGTCTACTATCCAACGCATGACCGCCCTAACCCTGAAAAAGGGGGTGAAGCAAGTTCTAAGTTAAAAGGCGTATGTACAGCACAAATTCCAGTCCAACACAAATTAGTTTCTATTCTCCTCATGGTAAGCTTCTAAAGGCCTTCTGTTTCACTTGAACTAAAAATGAAATTGGCCATCTATAGCCCTAGGTGTGACCCTTAGGTTGACTAGCATATCCTGGCAGGAAATATTTCAAGTCTAAACACTGTAAGATTCTAATGCAACTAATGCAGTTCCTTTACCCTTTCGCTGCCAAACCCATTTATTTCTCGCACCATAGACGCATTCAGGTAGCTGTATACTGTATACCTTTCACAATACAGCCCACAGTCTACTGAAAAAACGTTACCAAGTTTGTCGCTGCTAGTGCAGCCATGAGTTTGTTTACATGTTGCTACCCTAAAACTGTTAAAGCAAACCTATATTAAAAGAAATATGAAAGGTGACATTGTTGCTCTCCTAAAATGCCAGTTGCCTGTCTCTGGTTTCACTATTGTCTTAGTTATGGACTCAAAACAAGTATTTATCTCGCCTTACTAGTTTACTTGAAACTCATACCTTTCCAAACATGCATACACACTGCACTGAGAATTCATTATATTGCCACTGAATTTTGCAAATCATGTTGCTTCAATTGGGAAAAAAAAAAAAAAAAAAAGTATCTGAATACTGTGCTCCATTCCAAATGTAGAACATAAAAATAAAATTGAGAATATACCTGCTTTGCTCCAAGAACAACTGGCACCATGCATTCTGGCTCTGTGGCTTGAGTACTTTCATCAATCAGAATTGAACGGAACTGCATTTTTGCAAGCCTAGGATCCCCGGCACCCACACAGGTACAGCAAATCACGTCCGCATTCTAAAACCAAAAGTAAATGAAGCATATTATAACAGCAGCAAACTTGTTGGAATTCTTTCAGACCATTCTAAACAGACTTGAAAACAGCCATTACATACCTCTGCTATAACAATTTTATTTTAAGCAAAAGGCAGCAAAAATATTTCCACATAGAGCATTTAATTTCAATAAAAATGGAAATAGTGGATGAATTTATCCTTTGCACCTACCATAAGCAGCTCTCTTTCAGCTGCTCTTTTAAGGGCTCGGTATCGTTTTTCATCAGCGGAAGAAAGCTCCCCAGTTTCATCCTTAAGCTGCTGCAACTTTTGCAGCTCTGGCATGCTGAAAGGAAGAGTGTAAAAAAAAAAAAAAAATCAATCATTCACTAGGGTCATCTAAAATGCAGTGCAACTAAAATCACTAAATATAAGAAAACCTTTGAAAATATAACTAGTACAGTGGCTTAATGGTTAGCACCCCCGCCTGGCAGTACTAGGGTTGCTGGTTTGAATCCCAACCACACCACCACCTGCCTGAAGTTTGCATGGGTTTCCTCCAGGTACTTCGATTTCCTCCAAAGACATGCTGGTAGGTTAACTGGCCCATGTCTTAAATTGGCCCTACTATGTGTATCTATGAATGTGAGTTAGGGACCTTAGATTGTATGCTCCTTGAGGGTTAGGGACTGATGTGAAAAGCGGTGCGTAAATTGACAGCGCTAAGCACCTGAAATTACATAGTTACATAGTATGGCTAAAAAAAAAAAAAAAAAAAAAAAAAAAGACAAAAGTCCATCCAGTTCAACCAAAAACAAAAAGTTATAATCCTATTACCCACAATTGATCCAGAGGAGGCTGCAAGTGAAGAGAGGACACCACCTTAGGCAAAAATATGACAGCAGGGGCAGGATGGAAGACTTGTCCTCCTGAAGATTAACCCCCCTTCCTGACCAGGCCATTTTTTGCGTTACGGCACTACGTTACTTTAACTGGCAATTGCGTGGTCATGCTGTGCCCAAATGAAATTTATGTCCTTTTTATCTCACAAATTGAGCTTTCTTTCTGTGGTATTTGATCACCTGTACATTTTTTTTTTTTTTTTGCACTATAAAGCAAAAAAAGGCCAACAACTTTGAGAGAAAAACAAACTATATTTTGGACTTTTTGCTATTAACTGCTTCCATACCGGGCACTTTTAGGTTTCAGCGCTCTCACAGTTTGAATGACAATTGCGCGGTCATACAACATTGTACCCAAACTAAAATTGTATAATTTTCTTCACACAACTAGAGCTTTCTTTTGGTGGTATTTAATCAACACTGGGGTTTTAATTTTTTGCTAACTTAAAAAAAAAAAAAAAACCGAAAATGTTGAAAAAACAAACACGTTTTTCTTTGTTTCTGTTATAAAAGTTTGCAAATAACTGTTCATAAATTTAGGCCAAGATGTATTCTGCTACATGTCTTTGGTGAAAATAACCCAAATTAGGATGTATTATTTAGTTTGTAGGAAAGTTACAGAGTTCACAAACTATGGTATATATCTGAATATTGATCAATCCTGAAGTACTGACGGCCAATCTAATTTCTTCAGGCCCAAGAATGTCAGAACAGTACAGATATCCCCCAAATGACCCCTTTTTTCAAGTAGACAATCCGACGTACTTCATAACAGGCATGGCGAGTTTTTTGAAGTTGTAATTTTTTTGTCATAATTTTTCGGAAAATGAAAAAATTAAAAAAAAGGTTCACTTTTTTTTTTTAACATACTGTCACCAGTGCAGTACAGCGTCATCATATAACTGGCATGGAGGTGATCAGGGACACTGACTGGTGACAGTACGATAAAAAACAAAAATTGATCAATTTTTTTTTTTTAAATTGTATTAGTTAATTTTTTTACTTAAGATTTTTTTTTCATATTTCACTATGACCAAAGTAGTATAATGTTACCATGGTAACACGGTACTACTTTGGGGAAGAGATCAGTATTTTGTTTTTACAATTTGCTTATAGCAAAGAATTACTTTGCTATAAGCAAGCATTTACCTGAATGACATCGATTCATTCAGGGTTTTTTTGTGCTTAACTGTGATTTGGCCACGGCTAATCACATGACACAGCTGGGCTGTGATTGGCCCAGCTTGTGCATGTGATCGCTGTGACCATTCACAGCTACACACACTAGTATACAAAGATGGCATGAAAAAAAGCCATGCATTGTATACAACGGTCACGTGACCTGCTGTGATTGGTCACAGCAGGTTACATGGTACTGGAAACGGGGCCAGTACACAGATCTGTTATCGGCCGTGTCCGAGGTACACGGCCGGTGACAGATCGCGCCACAGAGCAGCCCTGCGGGCAGGCGCACTGCCCATGCCCACCCGGAGGGACGAGCTGCTCGCCCGGCCGCGATCTGGCTATAGGCTGGGTGGCAACAGGTTAAACATGTCCAATAAAAAAAAAAAAGTCAAATTTAGGCCAAAATGTTTTCTGCTACATGTCTTTGGCAAAAAAAGATCCCAATACGTTTAAATTAATTTGTTTGCGTTAAAGTTATAGCGTTTACAAATGGCGGTATAGATATTCAGATTTTTTTTACCTACTGATAATGGCAGCGATCTTTAGAGGGACTGCGGCGGACAATGACACTGGGGGGGGGGGGGGGGGGGGGGGAGACGGACGACTAACAATACAGTCATCAGTGCTAAGAGAGGGGAAAAAAAAAAAAGGGAAAAAAAAGCACTGACACTGTAATAATGGCACTGGGCATGAAGGGGTTAATGTGACGGGCAATCAAAGAGTTAACTATGTGCTGGGAGTGTTTTACTAGGGAGCGGGGGTTGTGTGCTTTACTGTAAGCACACTGATCGGGATGGCTGTGCACAGCCATCCCAAGCAGTGTGCTCGAGCTGACAGGGAGGAAGACTGTAAACAAAAAAGTCTTCCTCCCCATCGGTGATAGACGGTAATCGCCGGGGGCCAGCAGGCAATTACTGGCTGGGACCCGGTGATTGACATCCACGGCCGCGAATGGCGGCGCAGGTAGGGTGCGCGCCCCCAAGTCAGAAATGCAAAATCCCGTATATACGTGTTTTTGCGCACAGGTGCCACCCTGTAGCAGTATATCTGCTATAAGGCGGTCAAGAAAGGTTAGTCGTCTTTCTACTTTAACCACTTCCTGTCCGGACACTTTTACCCCCTTCCTGTCCAGGGCAATTTTCAGTTTTCAGAGCTATCACACTTTGAATGACAATTGCGCGGTCATGCAATATACTGTACCTATATGAATGTTTTACCATTTTTTTGAGACAGATAAAGCTTTATTTTGGTGGTATTTATTCACCGCTGGGATTTTTTATTTTTTTTACTATGTAAATGAAAAAGTCCAAAAATTTTGAAGTGTTTTTTTTTTTTTTTTTATAACATTTTGCAAATAAATAATATTTAATCATAAATCTTGGCCAAAATTCATTCCGTTACTTTTTTAGTAAAAAAAAAAAAAAATCCAAAATTAGTTTATAACCAAACAATATAATTTTTAAACATTTTTTTTTTACATTTTAATTTTATTTTTTTTACATACTGTCACCCTAGCAGTACAGTGTCACCATGGTGACACTGTACTACTTGTGGGGGGTGATGAAGATTTTTTTTTTTTTTTTTACACTGATTGCTTTTACACCCATATAGGATGTAAAAGCAATCATTTCTCTCTCTGTCTGCATTCTTGCAGTCATTGAGAAGTACTGAGTGAGCTGTGATTGGTCACAGCTTGTCACATGGTACAAGGCTGTTGTGAATAGCCTTGTACCACGTCACCTCTGTGATCATTCACAGATTTCACACGTAGTAAGCAATGATGTCACAAGTGACATCTTGCTTACTACTTTGCATGTGATCACTGATTCGCCAATCAGTGATCACATGATCGGGACCTCGTACAGAGGTCCCGTCCGACGATCGGTGTTTCACTGTGTCCGGAGGACACAGCGGGCACCGGATCGTGGTGCTGCGCGCTCCCAGGGAGCGCGCAGCTAGAAAAGGCGGGTGCTGTTTATGAACGGCAACCTGCCCCTGGACTGCCACCGTCCTGCTGTTTATAAACAGCAGGCGGACGGCAAGTGGTTAATGAGTAGACAGCACTAAATACCTTTCCATATTCCGAATTTGATTATGCAATGCCAAAAAAGAAACCGGAGAATCAATTGCTTCGCGACTTTTTGCGCAAAGTCGAACAACTTTGAGACCTGTCTGATGTATCTTCTCCGTTAACTGATCCACAGCAATGTTGCTTGGGGCGCAGACCAAGACAGGGCTGAAATTGGAAAAAGAAAAAAACTCTTAATACAAGCATTATTCTATTATGCAGTAGAAAAATAAAGTGGAAGTCCAGTCAAATGCCAACTATATTTACACATGCTCTCACCCCCCATTTTAAGCCCAACTACCCTTTAAAGGAAAGACATATATACTTACCTATCCTGGAGGCCATTCCGGTCCAGTCACAGGATCAACTAACAGCGTCGGCTTCAGTGTAGAGGGGTACCAGCTGAAAATGGACGCCCCATAGTAATGCTATGGGTGATGTCATCGCCCAGGATCTGCCTCCATAGTCAGCACACTCTCTTCACTGAAGCCGGCCATAGAGTAATTTGACTGGACTTCTACTTTAAATGATTAACAGAAAACAAATTATTCTATATATTATTGTGTAGTGCTGTACAGTCAAGCAAAGAAAATAGACAAAATTACTTATGATGGAAAGGTTTAAATTTCATAACTATAATTTCATAACACACATATGTAACATGTCAGTTTAAAAAAAAAAAAAAAAAAAAAAAAAAAAAAAACACAACACAAACACCGTAAATAAATACTGTTGAAAAAAATAAATAAATAAAAAAAAATTCGTAAACAACTTCAGGAAAAAAAACTAACAAAATCAATACAAGTCCAAAGATCTAAGCTGGTGAAGTTTTATTCAAATCAAAACCTTTCCTGTAAAACATCTTTGGTTTTGCCCAGTATCTGGCATGGAGGATGGTCCATCTCATTAAAAGAACAGAAGCCATGGGTATTGGGAGCAGCAATGTCATGCTCAAGTACAACAGGAGTTAAGTTTTGTACACAGTTTGCATAGAATTTCACCTGCCTTCGACCTCACCGGTAAATTACTTAAAGTTATACATTTTCTCCCCATCATAACCGTAAAGTCCAAAAGACAGGTTTTAAGCCAACCTTCTTTAGAGTAGATCAGACATTTCAAACTCGACACTGTCAGTCTTCAAAACAGTGGGCTGAATTGAAAGGACAAAAATCTTAAACACCATATTTGTCTACTTCCAGCCACATCTATTTCAGAGACCTTTGTCCCTCAATGAACTTCAAGAAAAATATTTTACTATAAGTACGAAAATCCTATTTTCGCTCTCATCCATTGAGAGCGAAAGGAATTTGTATACTGTGGGACATCCAAAAGCTGTACAACAGAGCAGTGGGCAACACAGCAATAAAGGCTACAGGCCCAATAGAACTGATTGATAGCCCTAAGGCCTGAAGCTACCATTATATGAGGCCTGAATATCCATACTGTGAAACCTAGAAGACAAAACTAGGAGACAAGTAGGTAGCCATGCAAACTGGGAAAGGCTGCATGATGGAAAAAAGAACAAGAAGCACTCATTTATCTAGCAGAGTGCGTCTTGTCAGGAAATTGTGCAACAAGATCTCCAAATCCAGAAGTTTGAATGATGGTCTACCTTAAACACCTAGTGATGGCAGACTGATAAGCCAGTGAACCTTTAAAGGGGCCATTTGGAATACAAAAGGAGCCAAGAGACATTCACACCCTGAACTACCAGACAATGGAGGGAAATTTCCTTTTAGTGAAACTGGAGTCAAATAGACAGACGGGAGAATAATGCTCTGGTTGAGGCAAAAGGCAGAAACTACCTTAGGTAAGAAGGAAGTTCTGGGCCTCAACACTATCTGATGCCTGAGAAAAACCAGAAGAGTTTCTTGCAGAATAAGGGTGGTTAACATGCTACTGTTGTGGCATTATCCAAGTCTGGGTAAGATGACAATCCATCAAGATGGTCCATCCTTGTGGAGATAGTTAAAATCACTAGGATGGAGAGGACAAGACTGACACAGTCTTTTGCAGCAACAGGGTGCCCAGGACTCCTCCACAGCCTGACAGGTAGGCATCCGTTGTGAGGATCCTGCAGAATATGGGAAGGAAGAAATCCCCATTTCAAGATTAGCTTCAAGATTTCAGATTACTGAGCCACAAGGCCAGGACAACCTGGTCCTTAATGCCACATGAATCGATGTGTTGAGGAATCTGATTTTCTTGTCTCACGATGATTGAACACTGAATACTAGAGGTATGTAGTGAAACTGGGCAAATGCAGCTGTCCCAAAAGGATGCTAACATCAGGCCGCCAGCACTCATGCAAAAGTGGAATAGTGGCAACTGGAGTGAACAGCTAGAATGTGATTGAAAAGTGTGAAGTTTCTTCTGTGGAAGAGACTTCAACTCTAGCCATTTTCAGGACTACCCAGATACTCCAAATGAGCAGTTTGTACCAGCGATTATTTCTGAAGGTTCATCATTAATCCAAACCACTACAACTTCTGGACATTCAAAGCCACATTATGCAACACAGCCCATGCCGACTACTTCCCTACCGAGAAGCAGTCTAAGTAAAATGGGGATACAACAAGAGCACAGCAGGACCAATACCTTGGCGAACACCAACAGTGCAGATGAGAGGCCGAGGGGTAGAACCACTAACTAGTAGTACAAAGGACAAACCTGAAAAGCATAGGAATCTCTGATGTGCTGGAAAGATGGGGACATGTGGAGAAGCATCTTTGATGTCCACAGCAGATAGAAAAATGCTTTAGTGTAGTTAGATATATCTATTGGTACTGAAACAATGAAATTGGGAGGAAAAAACCCTTGAAAATTGTTCTGCCACAGAAACTGGGGCAGTGAGCCGAAACGGTTGAATGAAAAGGTTTTTATCTGGGTAACAAAATCTGATGGTGAGAAAACTGGGAGGGGGTAAGGAGCCCTCAAGATACTCCTCATGCAGTGGAAGGCTTGTCTGGAAAATAGTTCTAATTTGGTGCGTCAGACCTTGTGAACAGACTAAGAATCAGGCTTGGAGACAAACTATGTGATGTGCTTAGGGCTAGAACCACCGAGGCAAGAAACAGAAATGCAGTTAAAGAACCACAAGAATGAAAAAAATATAAATTATCTGATTTGGGTGTAACAGCGATACACCAGAAAATCGGTCAGAAAGATTTTTCCTTCCACAGAGGGATTCTGACCAAATCAAAGTTGGAAGTTGGATTTAGGAGGGAAAAAAAAAACAATGCTCATGATCCATGGGCAAAGAATGATCCCCACCAAACAGTTGAATTAGATCATAAGCAGCCCCTTTTACCCAAAAATCAATCCCAGCTCCAAGTGTCAGAGATAGAAGTGAAAGCCAAACAATCTGTGTCCTCAACAACCCTATAACTGCCGTCAACACTCTGGGGGCCGTGGACACGCCAAAATGTACCACCACTAACTGGTAGTGGCAATTCTCCACTGCGAATCACAGAAACAGTTGATGAGGTCATAAAACTATGATGTGTAGGTAGGCATCCCTGATACCGGACGCCAGGATGCCCAACTGATGAAGGATTCAGACGGATTCCATCCTGAATTTCTGTAGTTCCGGGAACTTGAGACCCTTTAACATACAGGTTAGGTTAAACGTCTCCATTTGGCCTGGGAACCACAAAGAAGTTTCAATAGAAGCAGTATGACCTCCCCTACTCTGGTATGGGTGTGGCAACTCCCTAGGACAACAGCATTTCTTTTCATTAAAGAAAACCCCCTTTTTGATGCTGAGCAGAGGGGAAAAGCAGCAATACTCCAGCTTGTAACCTCTGGATGCCACACCATAGACCCAGTCTAACTTCCTGAATCCAAGCAGTCAGATGCACAAGTGTTCCTAAATACTTCTGCACCCTGGCACCAAAGCTGCTATTCCACCGAAGAGGCTGTGGCAGAATAGCTGAACTACTGGTTGTACTGAGTTGTAGGAGTCTGCACAAAGAACACGTTGCTGGTAAAATGGCAGTGTCACTGCTTTCCTAAATAAATGGCCGACCTTGATGGTTTATGTATTTGCAAGGGAGATGGGGTAGTATTGGTCAGATGGTTCCAGTCACGGTTTAAATTAGGAGATACAACCAAATTAAGACAAGGTTTTCTAACTGGTCTAGTTATTGCCCTTTTGCAAAAATGTGCAAGTCATGCCATCAGCGTTAGCATCACTTGCAACAACTGCATTATGGAGAACTGCAATCAAATCCTACTTGCATCACCTGGAAATGGGTACCTTGGATATATTACACTGGACCTATGATTTGGTTAACCCCTTCACACCTAAGGGTAAAACAAATCTAAAGGCCTAAGCACAATTCTGCACCGTTGACATGTGATAGCAAAACCGTACATATCATCACAACTACTTTGCACATCCAGGTGGATTATACCTTGATTTTTTTCAGGACAAATTGGGCTTTCATTTGGTGGTAAATGGTAATGGATATCTCCTGATTTTTTTTGTATTATCAAAGGAAAACTGGCCCAAAATAGTAAAAAAAATTGTTCTTTTTTTTATTTAGCTATGTGTTTCTTGTTATGACCATAACCTACCACCAAAGAGCAACCCAAAATAAATTCTCCAGCTCTTGACGATCGCAGCGATACCATATATGTGTATGTTATTTGTTGTTTGTACCCGTAGTACAGCCCAGAAACCATAGTGCGCATTTTGTTTTTGTCTTTTTTTTTTTTTTTTTTTTACCTAAAACACACTAACTGACACTGACATTAACACTAACTGACACCAATTTTTTTTTTTAAATCTTGACCTTTGACCCTGACCTTGACCTAAACACTAACCCTGGCACTGAACTAGATCAAACCTTGATCTAGGTATTTTTTAATTTTTTTTTAATATTTATCTTTTTTTTTTTACAAACTTTTTTTTTCTTCTCTCTGACATTCATAGAGAGAGAGAGAGAGAGAGAAAAAAAACAAGGGGCCCGGGCTGCACAGTGACTGATCACTGTGATAGCCAATCAGAGGCTATCACAGCGATCATGTGACCCGGAACCGGGAGTCCCGGGTCCCGATCGTTAGAACGGGACCCGGTGCTCTCAGTGACACCGCGGTCTCGGTGCAGGGAGCGCGCTGAGGGGCGCGCTCCCAACACAAAGACAGGTACGCAAATATGCGGCCCCACGGAAAAAAGCCCAGGTCAGTGAGGCCGCATATTTGTGTTACGTCGGCGTCAAGGGGTTAAGCATATACAAAAAAAGGTATGAACATTTACCTTGTCTTTTGAAGTTTAGATAGCATTCCAGTTTTTACTACTTAAAAATTATTGAAAGTGCTAATCTGTTATCTAGGAGTAACAATGTTCAGCAGACCCAACTAGAAATATTTTGAAAGCTTTTAAAGGACAACTGTACACAAATTGGTGCAATGGAGCTTGGTTACTTACCCATTTCCCTGTCTAGCAAGATGGTAGACAATTGTAGCAGATGTTACAGTCTTTCCAGTACCAGGAGGACCTTGAATAAGACTGAGTGGGCGTTGCAGAACAGTCTTCACTGCATAAACCTGAAAGCAAGAACACACGTATCATAATAATGTCATGTTTTTCATATGACACTGGTCTATCCTGCTAATTGTAAGCGACTGTCTAAAAGCATTGAATAAAATTTCAGTAAAGATGGGCAGAGCAGTGGCTTAGTGGTTAGCATTTTATGCCTTGCAGCACTGGGTTCCTTTGAGTCTCAGCTAGGATACAATCTGCGTGGAGTTTCCATGTTCTCCCTGTGCTTGCTTGGGTTTCCTCCAGGTATTTTGGTCTTGTCCCATAACGAAGACATGCTGGTAGTTTACTTAGGTTCTGTCTAAATTGAGCTTAGTATGTGTGTATGGGTTTAAAAAATCCACTTGCAACCTCTTTTGGCAGACCCTGGCAATGCTATTGAGTGGCTAGCAGGGTGGATAAAAATCATTTTTAAAAAAAAAACAAAAAAAAAAAACAGATTTTTTTGATTTAAATCGGATTTTTTTTAAATAAAATGCTTTTTGAGGAAAAATATATTACCATCCAAAGGTTATTCCATCATGAAATAAAGATTAGTTTTTTAATTATATAGAATAAGGCTCTATATGTTTAATTTTTTTGGTAAATAAATTCCATGAATCCATTCACAATGTCATGCTCTTCCAGAGGTTTTTGTAAGATTATTGGGCAGTTTCTCTGCCTACAAGATATTATCACAGATGCTTGGTTTACTTTTGCAGTTCTCAAAACTAAATTTGACTCAGCGGAGATCACATGCCTCTTCTTCACAGCAAAACTGTTACAAAATGAACAGAGTTAAGAAAAAGACCTTAATCCTAACTTCTACAAACCTATGAATACAGAATCAATCCCTTCAGTGCTAAGTATCAAGAAGTTCAGTGAATAGAATAGAAACAATATTTTTCTGATTGTTTGGAGTGGAATAGATCTGCACAAGAAGAAATTGAAACTAAGTGTGAGGAGGAAGGGGCTGACAGTCTAAGTTTCTTAAAATATATATATTTTGTTTAGCCAAATTAGTTAACAAACATGGATGTTTGTTTAAGCAAATAACATATGCCGTAATGTTATGGTTTCAGAGGAATAAATCTATTTAAATTGTTATTATTAAGGTAATGATTATTTTTCTCCTTCCTAAGTACAACAGAAAAGTTGTCCAAATATGAATGATTAACCTATTAAACTGGGGATAAAAAAACTAATATGAAAAGTTGTTATTCTAAAAATCTTCATCTACTTGCAGTAGATTAAAGTTATACCAGCAAGAATTAGTCTTTATTTAGAAAACTATGATTTAAAATCAAGCCTGAGTAGTGATTTAAATCAGTTTGATTTAAATCAAATCCACCCTGGTGGCTAGTACAGCTCTGGCAATCATTTCAAACATGGCGTCGCAGATAAAGTAAGGTTCCATGGATTGAAGTGCACAGGTTTGAATACAAAGTCTAAGTTTACCAACAAAAGCATGGGCGCTTTTAAACAAGACAACACAACGTTAATATTTACTGGCAAAAGTACTGTCATATATGCAAACTAAGTATTTCAACCTTTTTACAAAAACATTTTGCTCTCAGTCTACAACTGTAGAAAATCCATGAATCCATATTTAAGAAGTGGTTAAGAGCCTGCACATTCAAGACTACAGTATGTCTGCAAAAGCAACTATTTTTTTTTCCCTCTAACAATGTTCTTACCGACTCTTAAACTTTAACTATTACCATAAGACTTTACATAAATGTGCTAAAGTTTAAACTATGACCGACACTAAACCTGCAGAGCTGCATTATGGTACAGGTGAAAACTGGAGAGAAAAGCAACCAGCCCTGTCCCTGATCTCACAGAGCCAACATTTTGGAATCAGTGATAACATGGGTACTCAAAAGGTGTGCCACAACTCCCAAACCCCGTTATACCTGTCCAAACAGTCATTTAGTGAGGCCATTAAAAGTATTCCATCCTTTGGACATCTCGGATCCGAGCATGAAGCTCTGTCAGAGGAGGCGGCTCACATTTCCATTTAAGTGCCACTAAACACTGTGCTGCCGTGAGAGGGTGTGATAGGAGCCTTTTAGATTGTCTTAGAGAATTTAGAAAGTGGTAACCCCAAGAGGAAAGTTTTAGGAGGGAACAGGAGCCGATGATCGAAGACTCGATGTACAAGGACATGTACTGCTCTCCGATAAAGGTTCAATGAGTAGGCACGACCAATAAATATGTGGAAGCCTTTCTAGACAATTCTTACATCTCCAGCATCTATCATCTGTAGTGGTATATATAGATGGAAGCATATCGGGGGTAATACCAGTGAAAGGATCTTATTATAGGTTTACTTCATATAAAAAAGGTACAAATTGAGCTCTTTGCCACTTAGCCGCCTGGAACCATATCGTCTAAGAGTAGCTCCTCTCCCAAAATGTGTTCCCATTTTTGCATATTCACATGCTTTGGAGGGGGGTGGGAAGGTGAGGATATTAGATTTGTAGATTTTGGAGATTAGCCCCTTGATGGATGGGCCATCCAAGCAAATTCTCTCAGTTAATTTGAAAAACTGGAGTGATTTCTTCACAGATTGAGCGTAGTGGCAGATTTGTAAATAACCATAAAAAGCTTACTAAGGAAGGTCATGGGCTCTTTGAAGGTCCTGGAAAGAACATAAAACCCTAGTTCTGGGATCCACCAAATAACCATATTGGAATAGGTTTCTATTTTTCGAAACTGAAGACATCTGGTAAGTTAAGCTAACTGGAACAGCAGGGATGAATAGGAAGGAGGTAGTTCGAGAAGCCACGGTCGTTAGAGTGCTGCCTATGGGCCCATCTCCACAAAGTGTAAAGGAGAATCATAGGCTGGAGTAAAATAGCGGAGTTCGGGAGCGCTCGCCAGCATGGAGTTGGGGTGGATTGGAGCCATCCACAACTTCTCTAACTCCGTCCATCTATTATAGGAGTGCAAGGTAAACTGAGAGGCTAATAAGTACAACTGAGCAGCTAGTAGCTCTCCTTTTAAATGCAACATACAGGGCTACTCAAAAAATATATAAAAACACTAATAATTCATGCTATAATACTCAGTACAAGGTGCATTAAATCAATATACATAAAAAAATAAAATGGACAAAAAACCCTCTGCAAATCAATATGGGTGCGTGAAATCAATACACCAATAGTCCATCCGACAAGCAATGAAGTGAAAAGAAACTGTAGATAATCAGTTTAAATGTATATAATAAATCAATTAGGTTCATATGTAAGCAGGTTGAAATGAGCTAGATGGATGCTGCTCCAGACGGGAAGGTAGGGGTAGGTAATGCCTTTCCTAGATCTTTGGTTTTTGGCAGGATCTCTGGGTCTGACCCACTGCACCTGTGGATATAAAGGGGACAGTGGGCTGACTCCGAGATCGGACTGTGTCTTGATATCTCTTTTGCCTTTTAGGTCTTTGTCTTGCCCTTTCTCTGGTTCTGTGAGGAAGAGCTGCACCCGGGAGAAGTACAGAATGTCGCTTCCTACTACTTTAATGTAAAGGAGTAGGGATTAGGGACTTAGGATGTTTACCATTTTATTGAAATTCTGCTGAATTGTTTTGTCTCCTTTGGAATGTCACACTTTAATACCAGAAAAACGTTAAACTCTGCCTTCTGCATGTTCTGAAGTCCCTGAAAGGGGTACATTGCAAGTAATCTACACTATCACACAAGTCTACAGTTTGGGTCACTAGCACATGGGGTATGAAGAGTTAACATGCTAATAGTCAGCTTAATGCAAGCTATACATGTGGTTGCAATCAGCAACAAAGGTTCAATTAGCTAGCAGCCTATCAGAGCATAAGCCTGGTACACATAGAATTGCCTCTAGCCGGAAGGCCAAACATTCCAGGGTATGTAATCTTTTGATCATGGCCATTTGGCTGATTTCTGTTAATATTTCAAAACAAGCCAAACAACTATTTAATAAATGGCTTCATATGACCATCATCCTTCAATAAAAGAATATTTTTTGGCATGATCAGTCATGTTTTCAATATCAGTGCCAAAATTTCACATATTCTGCCAAGACATGCAAACTTTTGAGCACAACTGTACATGCAGTGTTGCATTCTGAATGTGGAATACGTAATTAGAAGAAACTTGGACTGCAAAAATACAGTTCCTGCCCCTGTTGGCTGCTTTCAGTGGCTTCAAAACTTTGCATCACTGACAGGCAAAATAAGCGAAGTCAGAGAAAAATTATATCTGATCTTTATACTTGTGCTGTATCAATGGCTGGATTAAAACCTTTGGATCAACAGGTAACATTCTCTCAGGGCAGAGTTCCTTTAACCACTTGTCCTCCTGAGGATTTACCCCCCTTCCTGACCAGGCCATTTTTTTGAGTTACTGGGCTGCGTTATTTTACCTGACAATTGTGTAGTCGCTGCATTCAAATGAAATTTACGTCTTATTTTTCCCACGAAATGAGCTTTCTTTCGGTGGTATTTGATCGCCTATGCGGTTTTTATTTTTGCTGCTATAACCAACTTGGTGTCAATGACATCCCCAGTGACACCAATACAGTGATCAGTACTAAAAAAAACAGCACGAAGGGGTTGTGAGGGGCAATCAAAGGGTTAACTATGTGCAGGGAGTCATTGTAAGCACACTGATCAGGATGGCCGTGCACAGCCATCCCGAGCAGTGTGCCCGAGCTGACATGGAGGAAGACTGTAAACAAAACAGTCTTCCTCCCTGTTGGTGATCATCGGGCACTGGCGGTTAATCACCGGCCAGGACCCGGTGATTGACATCTATGGTCGCAAATGGCAGTGCGGGAAGGGCATGCGCACCTCCTACCCGGAAATGCAAAATCACACATATACATGTGATTTAGCGCACCCGTGCCGCCGTGTAGCAGTATATCTGCTATACAGAGGCGGGGAAGCGGTTAATGCTGATTTTCTACCATCAATCGCCCAAGTCAATTGGTATTTTTATATTGATGAAATGTAGACTTCTTGGTAGTGCACAAATGCTTTCAAACAGTATATAGAAATCGTCTGCACGCTGAAGCCCTCGCGCACACTGCTGCAACTCTGTATGTGACTTGCGATACATATCGCATGACAATCGAAAACCCATTTATTTTAAATATGGCCATTCCGATATATGCAACTCAAGTCACTCACTTTGAAGCTTTCATGCAACTTGAATGTCCTGGACTCCAAGTTGCACCGGAAATCGCACGACAATGGGGTCGCAGCAGTGTGAACCGAGCCTAAAGCACAAAGTCCTTTGTGAATACCAAAGCAGTTAGGTGGAAACAACACTAACACCAGCTGACATCAGCAATAGGTGAGAGTTGTACTATCCAGGGAGGGTGGGAAGAACCAGCTTAGCACCATTCTCAAAAGAATGTCTAAAAAATTAGACATATTAGAGGCATCGATCGATCTAATCATTTGCCTAGACCCCTTAATGGTTGCACATTTTTAGAACCAACGGTGCCTAGAGTTGGGCTTTAAACCAATTTTAACCAATGCCTGGAGGAATTAACTAAATGAACAATGATGGTAGAAGAAGGTGCAGCGTTTTTTTCTTGTGTCATAAGAAAGGCAGTACTCACTTAGTGACTGCATAGACTAGCAAATACAAGATTTTTTACTTGTGTTCAGCTTGCAATTGAGCTGCTTCTGAATTTTCTGGATTGCTTTGGCAATACTTGATGTATACAGCAAAAAAAGCAGCTCTAGCACAAAGGCCTGTGTACATAAGCACTTACATGTTTCCTGACAGCCAATCATAACACAGCCTAAAGTTTATAGATATGAACTGGAAGTGTCCTTTGCGATCAAAAATTTGCAATCTTTACACCTCATCAACAGTTTAAGAATTGTTCCAACAAGATTTCAGCAAAACCTTTAACTGTTCAGTGATTAAACCAAAAGTGAAAGAATACGTAAACTTTCATTGTTGGCAAGCCCTGTAGAGAGAAGTGAAGACTATAAAAAGAAGCATGTCACAGCCATAAGTCCCATGCAGGACAGGAAAGTGGCACTGACCTGCACCTGTTTTGGGCAGGTACAACATTATCTTTGATGAGGCACACCTTTTCTATAGGTCAGCCAATGGCAGACTCCAGAAATGGATTGAAGCCTTCACAAGGACATGTAAATCAGTCTTCCTGCCAGGCTTCTTTTACACTACTGCACATTACTGTTGACAGTCTGTTTTGCATCTGCAAAACCACAGATGCAAAACTACAGAAATTGAATTTACCTGTGAGTGGTTCAGATCTGGGAGTCCTTGTGCAGTAAATCTCTTGGGAAGCTGGCATTTGATAATTACATCTTCCACCTCGTGGCCAAGAAGCTTATGATATATGTACCCCGAAACTGATGTTTCGTCAACAGCAAATGTCTTTAATGCACTCTGCATTCTATTTAAAAGAACATGAAAGTTATGAAATTACAGAAAGTTCAGTTTTACCAAGCATAGTCAAAAATGGCATGTTCACAAGCTAAACCTGGTTCATTAAAGCCCAACTCAGTGAAACTTGAAAATTAGCCCTTGTAGTGGGGCTGCGCCTGTACTGCAAGGTTTAACTACTTGATTAGGTCTAGGGGACTTGTTAAAGTAAATTTACTTACCCATTCTACTGTGCTGCCAGACAGGTCCCCACAGCATCTTCTCCCCTATGCTCCTACACTTCAAGATTCTGGCACCATCACTGGACATGACGCCAAGAGACAGACCGCTGCCAGAGCATGGAAGAGCGGAGTATCAGCCCCACTTCAAGAGTTTACAAATTTCCCAGAGTTGGGCTTTACCAAAAGTGCCTAGGATTTGTGTAGTTTTGTTTATGCTAGATTTTTCCAAGGAGAAAACGTAATAATTTTGACTTACCTGTAAATGCCTCACTTTGGAGTAAAGTACAGGACTTTTATTTGTATACCCGAAGTTATATGCAGGCTACCTTCAGGTACATTATATTTACAAAAATATTGGTATGCCTGCCTTTACACGCACATGAACTTTAATGGCATCCGTGTCTTAGTCCGTAGGGTTCAATATTGAGTTGGCCCACCCTTTTCAGCTATACTATAACTGCTTTAACTCTTCTGGGAAGGCTGTCCACAAGGTTTAGGAGTGTGTATATGGGAATGTTTGACCTTTCTTCCAGAAGCGTATTTGTGAGCTCAGGCACTGATGTCGGACGAGAAGGACTGGCTTGCAGTCTCCACTCCAATTCATGCCAAAGGTGTTCTATCGGGTTGAGGTCAGGACTCTGTGCAGACCAGTCAAGTTCCTCCACAAAATTGCTCATCCGTGTTTTTATGGACCTTGCTTTGTGCACTGGTGCGCAGTCATGTTGGAATAGGAAGGGGCCATCCCCAAACTCTTCCCACAAAGTTGGGAGCATGAAATTGTCCAAAATGTCTTCGTATGCTGATGCCTTAAGAGTTCCCTTTTACTGGAGCCAAGCCTAACCTCTGAAAAACAACCCCACCTCCAAACTTTACACAATGCAGTCAGCCAAGTACAGTTCTCCTGACAACCGCCAAACCCAGACACATCCATTGGATTACCAGAGAAGCACGATTCTTCACTCCAGAGAACACGTCTCCACTACAGAGTCCAGTGGCAGCGTGCTTTACACCACTGCATCCATCCCTTTGCACTGCACTTGGTGATATAAGGCTTGGATGCAGCTGCTTGGCCATGGAAACCCAGTCCATGAAGCTCTCTATGCAATGGTGTGCTAATCTGAAGGCCACACAAAGTTTGAAGGTCTTTAGTATTGACTCTGCAGACAGTTGGCAACGTCTGCGCACTTCAGCATGCGCTGAAATCACTGAGCAGTAGTCTTCCACTCTTTCCTGTGGAGTAGGGGTATCTTTCCTCCCAGTGACTAGATGAATATATTTTGGAACTCCCCAAATATGCATTCAGCAGATCAAGCTTTTAGCTACAAAAGGCTGCACATATGCATAGAGATCCTAGAGACTTTGCGAATTATATTCTTTAGAGTGTCGACACAAAATAAGGCTGAGGGTGTCAGCTACAATATTTCCAGTAGAGCAGGGTTCCTGACCCCAGTTTGCCTTCGCCAATTTGCAACAGCTAAAGCAAATACCTTTAAAAGGATAAGTTCACCTTTTGTAACATGTTTTACCCATTTTGAGAGTGTAACATGTTAAGAACAGACTGGCCCCCACTCATCCCTGCTCCCTGTTGTGACAGCGAGAAGGGGATCTTCCCCTCCCCGCTAGTGGTTAAAATTTATTTTAAAAAAGTGGCTCCGCCCACCCAGCCGCATCACACATTCACAGCGTTCTGTGAATTAATGAACTACAAGTCCCGACAGCCTCAGCAGCTGTCGGCTTGTAGTTCTCAATGAACTACCACGGCGTTGTGGAGCGCTGTGGTAGTTCACCAATTCTTCCTGTCATTCAGTACGGGCAAACAGATATACTGAGAACTGCAGGGGACCTGCATGGCACCAGTGATCTGGTGATTGCTGGTGCAATGCTTTAGAGGCTCCAGAAACAAAAAATAGAATGCATATTTTTTTTACCTGCAAAAAAAAAAGTGCATTATTTTTTGTGAAAAGGTGAACTTAAGAGGACTTCAAATCACCCATCAATAGAATCCTTATTGACAATGCTCCCTTTATTAGTATAAATAATATAAATAAATATAATCTGAAAGAGAAATCCCCAAATTCTGAGAGTTGGGGTTCACTTACACTTGCGAAGAGATCAGTGTTTTCCCTGCACTAGAAAAATGCTGGTGTCCACAAGGGCACACAAACATACGTTTTCTATGTTCCCTGTTCACATTACAGTGCAAGAAGCAGGTGCAGAAGACTGCGATGTGGCAAACATCCGCATGTTTGCATTTCCTCTTCACTGATGTGGCAGAGGTGCCTGTGGTGTCATATAGTGTTATTAATAGAGTGTTTTTTGTTGCAGGAATTAGAAAGTTCATCACATCATCCTGATGTCTTCTAAAGAAACCTAGAATTGAGACATTGACAGCACTAGCTTCTAAGCGAAGACAAGTGTATTCTCCACATGTGAACTTGGAAGGAAGCATTTACCATAATACTTGGTCCTTCGCAAGGTCTCCAAATGTAACATTTTATTGTTTAGAACACTTCTTACAACTAATCAGCGATGTCAAATTTACACCACCATAAAGGCTCTCCCACCTCTCTTATTTCTGGTGGATAACTCAATTTTTTCCTACTCTCCACCACCAATTCACCTTCGCTGAACAGATAATGTACACCTTTGCATTGTAGAGTATTTTTAGCCAATAACTTTTCCATTTAAAATCAACAGAAACACAGCAAAGCATATGTCAAGAGGCCATGTCGAGAGTTTAACATGCATTGTAATGAACTTTACAATGTGCTTTGATGAATATCCACTGATTTCAATGGAAACTGCGTCTGTAAAAAAAAAAATGCATGTGGCAAAAATGCTGTGACTCTAGCCTGGCCGGTGATCCTCAAAACAATAGGTTCTCTAAGCCAACTGCCCAATACACGATTTGCAGAGCTAGCCTCAAGACCCGAATTCTCAACTGCAGTTAATACAACTAGGTCTTGTCCTTAACCACAGCCTGTGAGGGGAAAATGTTCTTACTTCTCACAAACCATTTTTAAATGCAGATTAAAAACTTCTGAAACCATTACACAAAGAAATTTATGCTCTGATTTTCAATAGTAATATACTCCTAATCAGCTCAGTTCAGATGCCTAGATATGTTAAAGGTTTCCAGAGCAGGGAAACAAAAAAAAAAAAAAAAATCATCAACAATTTGTGCGAACATGTACTTTAGGTATAAGTGTTTCAGGGAATCACAAACCTGTCAAATGAGGTTGACTTCCAAACAAAATCCACCTGAAAATTGTGAGTAACTTCCACTGGTGCACCAACGCTGCTTCTCAATTCAATGGCAATTTCATCACCATAATCTACACAACTCTGTTAAGCAATATAACAATCTCTTGATTAGCATTAAAGCAGATTTAAACCCACAATGTTTTTTAGCCACATGTTGAGCACAATAAAACAATACCCAAGAAAACAGTTTGTTAAAATTATTACACCAACACTTAGAGCTTACAACTTGTAATGCTGCTGGTTCCTGCTCTGTGTTGCTTCCCTGAATTTTTGGTCTTCACAGGAAAGAGTTAACAGTGGTCTCCCATCAGTCTATTAACTTAAAGAAGGGAGATGAGCAGAGTACACCTTGCCATTTTGGACTACGGGGCTGTGTGTTTCTATTGATGCATGCAGAGACTAGAGCTGTGTCTCCCTACACTGTGTGCAAAGGTGACGCCATAGAATGCTGCAAGAGAAAGCAGCCAGCCTGAAACAGGAACATAGGGTAGGATTAAAAGATAAAGAAGCTGCCTGGCCAGTAAATGATTAAATCAGCTTCTGAAAGTGCTTAAAAAAGGGTTTAATATCACTTATCAAATTCTAATTACACCACCATTATTAACTAGAGCTCACCATCCAAGCAACAGAAAACAGGACACTAGGCTTCACGTTTTAACTGCTGAAGCCAGACTAAAGTGGTAATAAACCAAAAATGTAATACAGTGAGGAACAGAAGTATTTTAACACCCTGCAATTTTGCAAGTTCTCCCACTTAGAAATCATGAAGGGGTCTGAAATTCACATTGTAGGTGCATTCCCACTCTGAGAGACAGAATTTAAAAAAAAAAAATTCAGGAAATCACATTGTCTTGCACTGCTGAACATAAGTATGTGAACACCTAAGAAAATCAGTGTTAATATTTGGTACAGAAGCCTTTGTTTGCAATTACAGAGGTCAAACGTTTCCTGTAGTTCTTGACCAGGTTTGCACACACTGCAACAGGGATTTTGGCCCACTCCTCCACACAGATCTCCTCTAGATCTGTCAGGTTTCGGGGCTGTCGCTGAGCAACACGGAGTTTCAGCTCCCTCCAAAGATGTTCTATTGGATTTAGGTCTGGAGACTGGCTAGGCCACTCCAGAACCTTGATATGCTTCTTACGGAGTCACTCCTTGGTTATCCTGGCTGTGTGCTTCGGGTCGTTGTCATGTTGGAAGACCCAGCCACGACCCATCTTCAATGCTCTGACTGAGGGAAGGAGGTTGTTGCCCAAAATCTCACAATAAATGGCCCCATTCATCCTCTCCTTAAAACAGTGCTGTCGCCCTGTCCCCTTCGCAGAAAAGCACCCCTAAAGCATGATGTTACCACCCCCATGCTTCACAGTAGGGATGGTGTTCTTGGGATGCAACTCATCCTTTTTCCTCCAAACACGACGAGTGAAGTTTAGACCAAAAAGTTCTACTTTGGTCTCATCTGACCACATGACTTTCTCGCATGCCTCCTCTGGATCATCAAGTTGGTCATTGGCAAACTTCAGACGGGCCTGGACATGTGATGACTTGAGCAGGGGAACCTTCCGTTCAATGCATGATGGCGTAGTGTTCTACCGACAGTGACCTTTGAAACTCTGGTCCCAGCTCTCTTCATGTCATTGACCAGCTCCTCCCTTGTAGTTCTGGGCGGATTCCTCACCTTTCTTATCAGTGATACCCCACGAGGTGAGATCTTGCATGGAGCCCCAGTCTGAGGGAGACTGACAGTCGTCTTTAGCCTCTTCCATTTTCTAACAATTGCTCCAACGGTTGATCTATTTTCACCAAGCTGCTTGGCAATTGCCCCGTAGCCCTTTCCAGCCTTGTGGAGGTCCACAATTTTGTCTCTGGTGTCTTGACAGCTCTCTGGTCTTGCCCATGGTAGTAGTTGGCATCTGACTGACTGTGGGGTGGACAGGTGTCTTTAAAGAGCTCCGACAGGTGCTATTAAGTTAGATTAATGAGTGGCGTAGAGGTGGCCTTTTTGAAGGCACAGTAACAGGTCTTTGAGAGCCAGAATTCTTGCTGTTTCTTAGGTGTTCAAATACTTATGTTCAGCAGTGCAAGACAAATTCTTTAAAAATCATACAATGTGATTTCCTGAATTTGTTTTTTAAATTCTGTCTCTCAGAGTGGGAATGCACCTACAATGTGAATTTCAGACCCCTCCATGATTTTTAAGTGGGAGAACTTGCAAAATCGCAGGGTGTTCAAATACTTCTGTTCCTCACTGTATATTGCAGCTTACCAATCCTGACATGAGGTGGTTGCATTAGGTTTTTTTTTAGGCTTTTTTCGCCCAGTGATTAGCCAGTAACAAACCACCTGTATTATAGTGCTTCCACTCTAGATGAAGGTGCACAAGGGTCACCTTTGGACAGCAGCATTGTTAATCTGGGGGGAGGGGAGCGTTAGATGCACTTACAGATTTAGTCAAACTAACAAATTGAAGCCCAACTCCCACTAACACACTATAAGCAATTACAGCAGTTTTTTTCCTTTTTGGATAAATGAAAGCTGATGACTGAGCATCAGTGGTAAATGGCTGGCCTCAACACTCACTGCTACATCTGCAGGAAAGCTTTTCCTTCTGAAAAACAACAGACTTACTGGCCAGTTCAGTAGGCAAAAATAAAGGAAACCGTAAATGCAAAAAAGGAGGTAAGCGAGCGCTAAAATAATTCTAAATGAATGAGCAGCTGTACACCAAAAAAAAGGTACCCATAAACCTTCCAAGACACATATGCAAAGAGGGTGCAGCGCTAATAGAGTGGAGACCCCCTATGAGCAATAACATTGCCAGGGAATGAGGATTGACTTAATCTGATCTGACCAGACCCATTCTGTGATGACATCTGGATGACCAGAGGCTTACTGTTTATGCGCATTTAAAAATGCGTATCTGGTGAGTGCGCATTCTTATTATTTATCACCAGATCCGTGGTCTGCATCACTGGACATCCCGAGATCACTGGGAATCTCAAGAGCACCTCTTCTTTCTGGACTGTATAACTGAGTCTACACCCTTTAGCACTTTTGACCACTATATAGTGGCCTATGCATTTGCACCTTGTCAGCTTATATATGCGTTTGTATTGACACTTTGATATTGTTAAATCTATTAGCGCTGCACCCTCTCTTTGCATAAAAATAAAGGAAAGCAAACCAAGAAAAAAAAAAAAAACTGAAGCGGCCATCACAGCTAAATTTCTAAAAATTAGTAAGCTGCAATATAAAAAGTGTTTTCTTTTGGGTTTATTCCCACTTTAAAATGGACCTAATCCCCCTTTCACAAAAAACGTTCCAGTTGCATGTTCAAAAAGTCACTTAGAAAAAATGGCTACCATGAAAAGAATGGGGAGGAAAATAAAAATAAGGTGCGCAAAGAATCAAAAGCAATTAGTAAAACATATCTGATTGTACATTGCCAAATATTTTAAATTTAAATCATGTGTACTTTTGTCATAAAAGTATAAACTGATAGATGTCACTACTTCTACCAAACTCTAAAAACGGTTAGTCCTGAAAATCCTATTCAACAAAAAGTAAAAAGTTCCCTGTTCTCAAAGAAAGTCATTAAGGCTCCTTTCTCACAGGCCAGATAAGTTTTTCAGTAGGGGATCAGTTCACTGATCCTCTGCTGAGCAGAAAGGGTGGATGACAGGTCCATGTCCACTCCGCTTATGCAGAGCGGATACAGACACAGCCCACTCTGCTATATGGACAGCTGGATGTAAACGGACTGGCTGTGTTTACACTCGACTGCTCTCCAATCCACCCAGATGGAAGAAGAAAAAAAAAACCTCATGAACAGTATTTCTGATGCTCCTACCAATTTCTAGGGGAAAATGTAAAATGGAAATTCTCTGTCTATGTATGAAATGGAAGAAAAACAAAACACATTCCTGCCTTTTGAAGATATATTCAACACTTGTTATTTGTGTTATCTAGGCTTAAAGTGGCTTTAAAAATAAACTCAATTTTTACAGTCCCCATTCTCAAGCATTATTGTAATACTTCAGTAACCCCCATATCCCGAGATCATTGTGTGGGTTCCCCAAAATCAGTCTAACTAGATATCTTCAAGTTCTACACTGCTACCAGCACACATTCATTAGACTCGATTCCTTTCAATGTTGACAGGATGTAGACAGGCTTTACATCAAAGTGAATCGAGTCAACGAACATCACTTTTATAGTGTCAGTGTTTTTATTAATGAATGGCATCCCAACAAAGTAAAGGGCAGAGTATATGCTCCTTGCTTTGACACCAACAAGAAAAAAAAAAAAAAAAAAAAAAAAAAAAAAAAAAGGATACTGTCTGGGACCTTTATTACATGTCCAATCCCTTTCCACAAAGGAGCAAGGTCGCCTTTGTACCGCAAACATATTTCATCCCCTTGCATTAAACGCATGTCTGAAAGAAAAAAAAAAAAAAGGAAAGTTATGAACATCACAAATACATGAAAAATCTAACTCAAATTATGTGTCAGTCGGGCATTTAGGTAAAACCAGACTGTAAAGTCAGGATCTTTCCTGAACCTGGACCAGCTGAGTAACGTCAGCTGAAAACAGGTCACAGGAATACAGAACAAAGTCCACATGGTCTCTTTTAACCTATATTTTACTGATATGTTGCGCTGAGATCATGTGAAAACAAAAGAAAAAAAAAAAAAAACGGCAACTTTTTGAACTCTCCCATTTTATTCTCCAGGGTCTCTGCTTTAGAAAAAAAAATGTTTTGGGGTTTTAAGTACTCTTCAGGACTAAAAATTGGCTTTTTGGTTTCCCTGAAAAATCCTTTTCTTGGACTACATTACACGACCCAGGGTAGATTCACCTCCATCACGATTGGAGGTAACCTTCAGGTTACTGGACACTGTCAAAAAGACAAATGTTCCCTCCTAGAAATAAACCCTCCTTGTTAGGAAGGCGTCAGTGTTTGTAGCAAACCACAAACCACAAGGCAGTGGAATGGCATTCCTGCATCTTTATATGTACTCTACAAATTTTACAGGTAAAACAAAAATTCAATATTCTTTATCATACATCCCAGGACAAAGGGTAACTATCTGCATTACGGTAGGGATGTCCCAAAGCACTGAATGTGAGGAAAGGGCAACACAACTCTACAGGCCCCAAACAATTAAATAGGTAAGAACTTCACGCAGCAGTCTGCAAAACACACAAACAAAAAAGGTAGCATTCTCAGTGGCTCTATTTGGTAAAACTTTAAGTTAGAACCGAAGCCGATGTAGCAGCTCTACAACCTTGAGCCACAAAAGCATGATGACAAATAGCCCATGGCAAAGCTTTTCCTCTTAGACCATATGCTTGAGAAATAAGCTGACAGATCCATCAAGAGATGGTAAATTTGGCAGTTGCGTGGCCCTTCCTTGGGAAATCAGGAAGCACAAAAGATATCTGACGAATTGAAGCAGTCAACTTCAGGTAACATCTGACAGCATGAACCACATCCAGGGTGAGAAGAGCCTTGTCCTCCAGTGTCTAAAAGAACAGCAATTCAATGTCCTGGGTTGAAACAGAAGAACCCACTCTAGATGAAAATACAACTGAAGCTGGAACACCACCTCGTCACGTTGGAACACCAGGAATGGTTCCTTCCAGGAAAGAGCAGCCAATTCCAAGACTCTGCAAGCCAAAGTAATAGCAACCAGAAAAATAACCTTCAGAGTCAGAAGCACTAAAGGAATATCCCGGATGGGTGCAAATGGAGATTTCTGTAATACAGAATACACCAAGCTGAGGTCCCACATAGTTAAAGACATTTAGCCAGTGAAACGATACACGTTATGCCTTATAAAATACTCCACACCAAGGAGAGTGCAGCAATCAGTCTCTTAAAAGTAAATTAAGGCCAAAATGTGCACCCTGATCATACTCAAGACCAGTCCCAATTCAACTTCATACTGTAAAAATGCCAGGATGTGGTCAACTACATACTTGTGGGGATAAAACCCCAAGACTCACACCAGGCAAAATAGGACTTCCAAGTCCTATTGTACTGTAAATTTTTCTAGAAGTTGCCCTTCTAGCCTTCAGTAGGATAAAAGGACTGAATCAGAGACCCATCTGTCTCTTAGAACCTTATCTTCAACAGCCATACTATTAAAGCCAGTGACTGTAAAGAAGGATGGAAGATTGGAGCTTGCCAGCAGTAGGAAAGGTCGACCCAGAAAGGTCCAAAAAGGGATCTGCCAATCTAGTGGATGAAAAAAAAAACAAAACAGCAGGATATCCAGCTTTAGAGCTTGAGATTGGAGAAAGGAATGTTTCTTAGGACCACCAGTAGGTTTTTTTTTTTAACTTTAAGCAGTAAGAGTATTCTTACCCACAGTCACCCTCTGGATGTAATCATACTAGGCAGGACCAAATGTTCCCCTTGAAAGGTTAATGTTCCACATGTTTCTTGCACACCTGAGTCATTAAATCCTGTGCATGTGTACAGACGAAACCTCGAGATGCAAAAGTAGCTGGATGCTGTCCTTTAAGACATCCATTAAAAAGCTGAGTCTGTGGGAATTCCTCCAGGTCTCTGCTCATTTCAGTATCTCCACTTTCATAATGCGATGAGCCCAGACCATAAGGCTTTGCTGCATGCCAACGGTCCACAATTGCTGGTTCTTAAGCTGCTCCCATCAGAGCAAATGAGGCCTTGAATAAAGCTTCCAGAGGCATCCATAAATACTAGGATCTCATCCACTGGACATGTGAAGGCCTTGCTGAGATAAGAAACTGCTGAATCCACCAAAAGCATACTACATTTTTAGTGAACTAAGTTTCCATGGGGTATTGCTGAACAAACCTTTTTGGCAGAACACTTTGGCAGAGTGAGCCTATTCCATGTATACAATGTCCGTTAGGGCTATTTTTGCACAAAGGTACCATGTGATCCAGTGAAGGAAAGTGTGGGCAAACCTGTGTTTGGGATGTTACATTTTTACCAACTCCCACTGAAGATCACAAAATTAGTGCATTTTGCATGCGTGTTGAATCACACAGGAACACACAACATGTTCCTGTGCAATTCAGATGCGGGCATGGTGCGAACCAGCCCTTAAAAGTGAATGTACAGGAAAGGGTTGAAGATGTTGTGGTAGCCTTTGCAGTAGAGGACTCGGGAAGTGGTAACATTAAAATTAGAACATTAGAATCGAACTTCTGTGAGAACTTCTCTCCAGCAAGGTTCTGCTTTGACCTGTATTCCCACATCAAACCTGCCTCCTCACATGGGTACAGGAAAGGAGAGAAAAAAACAACCCACCACAAAAACACAGAACAAAATAAAATAAAATAAAAAAAACGTACATCACTGGCCGTTCTGCACATGCAACTCAGCAATCTATAATTAACACACAGGGCAGAGAAGACTGTCCCACCTCCTGAGTTTGACACCCTGTGCCACCTCTTACCTCCACTACTGCAAATGTAGCTCTCGGGACAGTCTGGGAAGCCATTTACAGTGAAAAAAACAAAATAAAGAGATGTTTTAGGTCAAAATAAAAGTTCCTTGGGGGTGGGAGGAATTCGCCAGGGTAGGTTTTTGGGGATTATCAGCAGGGTCTACCCCAAGGGCATTTACCACTCCTGCCAAAGACATCCCTGGAGGTGTCCAATTTCACCCATCAAGACAAGCACCACCACAAGGTCCCTCAGGAACTCCACACCCCTTGATCTGTAAAAAAAAACCTACTGGTCCACAAGGCAATTTATCATTGCAGTGCTTCCCGCACCGCAGTGTCCCATACTGACCGACAACATTACAGGCCCTGTACCATTACCCTGGAGTGTAGAAAAGCCGTAGGAAGGGATTTCCCATCTATTTACCAGGATAACCCTATCATAATGGTATTTAAGATACCCTTTTGTCCCGATATGTGAGAGTAAAAAGCAATCAAACGTGTGCAAAAAAAATAAAAAAATGTAATCAGAATATTCATCATTGTTTTAAGCAATGACATGTTGGGTATCCAATTACTCAGCACAACCTCATCTTTTACAAAAAAAATTAGGTAAAATTTGCATTTGTGTGCCCTAAATTTAACTTTAGTGTACATTTTACTGAAATTTTGTGCTTGATAAAATACTGCATCAATCATCAATAAGGCGAGAAATAGAAACTACTACCATTTTATTCTCCAGGGTCTCTGCTTTCAAAATAAATAAAAAATAATGCTGTGGCTTTTTTTTTTTTTTTTTTTTTTTTTTTTTAATTTCAGGTATTCTTCAGGCCATTAAATCCTTTCAATGCTACCAAAATGTTTTCAGTAAAAACAGAGAACAAAGTCTTGGTGTTTTAGGTGACTGATTCACTTCCAATGTGTGCAAGTTAGAAGCATCTCAAAAACCAATCCTAATCAATCTTTATGACCTCAATACTTTACTTTCAAACATATATAAAATTCCAAACCCAAAAAATATTGTAACTAGAAAATTACCAGAATCTGTTTTTGGCAAAGTGAAGTAAGCAATTCTTTTCTTGTTAAGGCCAAGGTCCCATCGTACTGTAATGTTATCTTGAGTCTACAGAATTAAAACAGGTTTAAATTAATATTGCTCACGGTAACACATTTATCAGACATACTAGGAAGGTAACCTAAAATTCATACATCAAAAATTAGCCAACCTTGTATATCATATAGACCCAATTTCAAAATTACTTTGAAGGTTTGTAACACTTCAGACACATCTTTAGTGCTTGCCTAAACTGCCCACACAATTGGAATATAAAATTATACATTCAACTTTTCTGGAATTTCAAAAATTTCATCTAAGCATCAAGCTGAGGAACTGACATTTCCATTCTGTCAGCGGACATGCTTTCAGGATAAACCTACTATTATACTGGCTGGGGAAGAATTAGAGAACACTGCTAAAGCAGCCTGCTGGAAAGCCCAGTTTGGAAAAATGACTAAGCCCTGCTTCACACTGAGTGCCCATTCACATATATGTGGATTGGATGCGGTTTGAAATGTATCCAATCCACATGACATGTGAAAACACATTGCTTCCTATGCTGCCCATTCACATATGTCCGGTGCACTGGCGGTGCGGATTTAGTGCGCTTTTAAAATTAGTCATGTCCGATTTCTGAGCAGTGACTCCGGGTTCAGGTGCGGATTACAGGCTATTGACTTACATGGGAACCGTTCCTAAACCATATGTGTGTGAACAAGATAAGTTCCTGAGCTAATCCTGTCCTGAACCTGATGTAAACCAGGGTGGATAAAAATCAATGATTTAAAAAAAAAAAAAAAAAAAAAAAAAAAAAAAAAAAAAAAACTGATTTTTTTTTATTTAAATCAGATTTTTTTTTTAAATAAAATGCTTTTTGAGGAAAATATATTACCATCCAAAGGTTATTCCATCATGAAATAAAGATTAGTTTTTTAATTATGTAGAATAAGGCTCTATATGTTTAATTTTTTTGGTAAATAAATTCCATTAATCCATTCACAATGTCATGCTCTTCCAGAGGTTTTTGTAAGATTATTGGGCAGTTTCTCTGCCTACAAGATATTATCACAGATGCTTGGTTTACTTTTGCAGTTCTCAAAACTGAATTTGACTCAGCGGATGCCTCTTCTTCACAGCAAAAATGTTATAACATGAACAGAAGAAAAAGACCTTAATACTAACTTCTACAAACCTATGAATACAGAATCAACCCCTTCAGTGCTAAATTTCAAGAAGTTCAGTGAATAGAATAGAAACAATATTTTTGTGATTGTTTGGAGTGGAATAGATCTGCAGAAGAAGAAAATGAAACTAAGTGTGAGGAGGAAGGGGCTGACAGTCTAAGTTTCTTAAAATATATATATTTTGTTTAGCCAAATTAGTTAACAAACATGGATGTTTGTTTAAGCAAATAACATATGCCGTAATGTTATGGTTTCAGATGAATAAATCTATTTAAATTATTAAGGTCATGATTATTTTTCTCCTTCCTATGTACAACAGAAAAGTTGTCCAAATATGAATGATTAACCTATTAAACTGGGGATAAAAAACTAATATGAAAAGTTGTTATTCTAAAAATCTTCATCTACTTGCATATTAAAGTTATACCAGCAAGAATTAGTCTTTATGTAGAAAACTATGATTTAAATCAAGCCTTACTGACTAGTGATTTAAATCGTGATTTAAATCAGTTTGATTTAAATCAAATCCACCCTGACGTAAACCCAATGCAAACCTGTGAACAGCTACTGTATCAATTAGCTGTTAAATCTGAGATTCAATCCACTCTGCATATGTTTGAATCAGCTCTGAATGCGACTCTGAAGTAGCACGATTTTAGAGGCACAGATCAGTGCAATTTGTACCTTCAATTTCACTGCGGCTTCAACTTCATTTAACAGAAGTCAAAGCAAGTCGCAATGAAATCAGAAAAAAAGTAGCGCACAAACTACTTCAAATCACACTGATTAACCTCCTTAGCGGTTTTCCCGAGTGTAGCTCGGGGTAGAATTTCTATACCAAGAACGGTAACCCCGAGCTACACTCGGGCTTACCATGCAGCGTTCTCTGGGGGTCCCTGCAGCACTTACCTTGTCCTTCGCTCCCACGATGTGTCCCCTGCAGCGTCCCCGTCCATCTCCTCCGGCGGATGCCGGCATCTGACTTCCGTGTTCCGGTCCCCGTGACGTCGGAACGTTCGGGCGGCGGAACCGGCGGGAAATTTGAAATTTTTTAAAAATGACATTTTTGCTGTCATTGCTTTTTCACTGCATTTCACATACATTTTGTCCCCACTGCTTTGTCCTGTGCCCTGCCTGCATTTTGACTGTTCTTTCTGCCTGGAAACTTAGAAAAGTCCATGGCGGCCAAAAAGCGTCCCTTTACATCAAAAGCGGTTTTAGAACAGCGATAGTAAATCAGAACCACTTGCAGAATTGAGTGATGATTTGTGGGGAAATTCGTCATCAGACACTGAAAACGATTTTGCGACTTTGCTCAGCGATGTGCGAATTTGCCTCTGTATTTCAAATTTCAGTGTTTTTGGTTTGATTATATTATTGAATTAAATTGATTATTATTATATTATTTTTTATGATTATTAATTAAATTATAATTTATGATTTTGTGTTTCAAGTTTTATCATATCCGGAATGTTTAATAGACTCTTGTTCGGACAGATTTCAGTGAGTTATTCCTAAAAATTACAGCCTACAATTAAAAACTACATATTTCCATGCAAAAAAAAATGGTACCGCTTTCAGCACAAAATTCCTGACATGATCATACCGCCAGGGAGGTTAAGAGTGTGAACGAGGGATAAGGCAGATAGGAATAGAAGACACTAGACCATTAAAGAAAAAAAAAAAAAAAAAAAAAAACACTACACACAAATCATTCTCTCTATGCATATGATTTAACCATTTGCCGCCCGCCCTATGGCCGAATGGCGGGCGGCAAATGTCATCAGCATTCCGGGTGGATGCCAAATGGCGTCCTCCCGCACATGCGCAGATTGCGGCGCGATCTGTCACCGGCCGTGTACCTTGGACACGGCCGATGACAGATCTGAGTATCAGCCCCTGCAGCATTTTGAAAATGCATAGGCCTGCAAATTGCTTGGTGCTTTTGCAGCGTGCAATTTCCCTGCAGTTCCTGCACCTGCAAATGCGCTTACATGCATGGGGGTACCATGAAGAATGAATGGCAGGCCTTGCGTTTTTAACCTCTTCCCTATGGCCAAATAGCGGCCGGCAAAAACACTCACCTTTCTGGGTGGACGCCATATGGCGTCCTTTCGGGCATGCGCAGTTTGCACGCATGCAGAGCCGCGCAGCGGCGCGATCTGTCACGAGCCATGTACCTCGGACACGGCCGATGAAAGATCTGAGTATCAGCCCCGTTGCCGGTACCATGTGACCTGCTGTGACCAATCACAGCAGGTCACATGACAGTTGTATACAATGGATAGCTTCATTCATGCCATCCATTGTATACTAGTGTCTAGCTGTGAATGGTCACAGCTAATCACATGCACATGTCATGTGATTAGCTGTGGCCAAATCACAGCAGAGCACAACAAAAAAAAAAAAAAAAAAACCTGAATGAATCGATGTCATGCAGGTAAATGCTTGCTTATAGCAAAGTAATTCTTTGCTATAAGCAAATTGTGTAAAAAATGGTGAAACTAATTTTAAATTTTTTCATTTTCCGAAAAATGACAAAAAAAAAATACAACTTAAAAAAACTTGCCATGCCTCTTATGAAGTACGTCGGACTGTCTACTTTGCAAAAAGGGGTCATTTGGGGGATATCTGTACTGTTCTGACATTCTTGGACCTCAAGAAATTAGATTGGCTGTCAGTACTTCAGGATTGATCAATATTCAGATCTATAACATAGTTTGTGAACTCTATAACTTTCCTACAAACTAAAAAATACATCCTAATTTGGGTTATTTTCACCAAAGACATGTAGCAGAATACATCTCGGCCTAAATTTATGAAGAATTATTTATTTGCAAACTTTTATAACAGAAACAAAGAAAAACTTTTTTTTTTTTCAAAATTTTTGGTCTTTTTTTGTTAATTTAACAAAAAATAAAAACCCCAGTGGTGATTAAATACCACCAAAAGAAAGCTCTAGTTGTGTGAAGTAAATAATAAAATTTTAGTTTGGGTACAATGTTGTATGACCGTGCAATTGTCATTCAAAGTGTGAGCGCTGAAACCTGAAAACTGGCCTGGGCAGGAAGGTGTAAAATTGCCCGGTATTGAATTGGTTAACTTGCAAATAGTTTCAAATGTCACTGTTCAACTAATGCACAGCAATTGTTGGTAACAAATGTAAAAATATTTACCTGGGACTCCTTCAGCTTTTTGTCATAGTCGGCCTCAAGTTTCACAAGGGGTCCAAATATATTTTGGTACTGATATGCATCCTCGTATCTAAGCAAAACGTGCTGAGGCTCTTCATCAACACCGGGTTTTTCCAGATCTTCTAGGGTTGCAGAAGGGTTTTCCTTCACAAGGGGAAAAAAGAAAAAAAAAAGTTTTTACACATTTAGAACAAAGTATCTTTATTTTATTTAAAACACTGTTTTACCATAAAATATTATATATACAGTTAGGTCCATATATATTGGACACAGGCACAATTTTAGTTTTTTTTTTCAGGTAATAAAATATAGTCAAGCTATAGTTATATAATGGATATGGGTTGGAAGTGCACACTCAGGTTTAATTTGAGTTTATGTACATCCAAATTGGAGGAAGGGTTTAGGAATTACAGCTCTTGAGAGTAGCCACCCCCGCTTTTTCAAGGGATCAAAAGTAATTAAACAATTGAATCAAAAGCTGTTTCATGGCCAGGTGTGGGCTACTCCGTTATTTCTTCATCAATTAAGCAGGTAAAAGATCTGGAGTTGATTTTCAAGTGTATTTGCATTTGGAATCTATTGCTGTGAACCTACATCATGTGTTCAAAGGAGCTGTCCATGCAAGTGAAACAAGCAATTATAAGGTTTCAAAAATGAAACAAATCCTTCAGAGAGATAGTAGCAACATTAGGAGTGGCCAAATCAACATTTTAGTACATTCTGAGGAAAGAAGAATGCACTGGCAAGCTGAGAAACATAAAAGGCATGGATGTCCACAGAATACAAACAGTGGTGGACGATCGCAGGATCCTCTCTATGGTAAAGAAACACCCATTCACAACATCCAGACAAGTGAAGGACACTCTCCAGGAGGTGGGCATATCATTGTCAAAGTCTACAATCAAGAGAAGACTTCAGGTGAGCAAATACAGAGAGTTCTCCACAAGGTGAAAACCATTCATAAGCCTGAAGAACTGAAAAGCCAGATTAGACTTTGCCAAAAAAAAAACATCTAAAATAGCCAGACCAGTTCTGGAAAAGCATTCTTTGGGCGGATGAAACTAAGATTAATCTGTACCAAAATGACGTGAAGAAAAAAAAAGTGTGGAGAAGGCTTGGAACAGCTCATGATCCAAAGCACACAACGTCATCTGTAAAGCACGGTGGAGACAGTGTGATGGCATGGGCATGCATGGCTTTCAGTGGCACTGGGTCATTGGTGTTTATTGAGGTCACAGAAGACAGAAGCAGCCGGATGAATTCTGCAGTGTTTAGTGACATACGGTCAGCCCCGATTCAGCCAAATGCAGCAAAGTTGATTGGACGTCGCTTCACAGTACAGATGGACAATGATCCAAAACGCACTGCAAAAGCAACCCAGTTACATTTAAAGGAAAAAGGGATGGACAATTTTTCTGCAATGGCCGAGTCAATCACCTCATCTCAACCCAATTGAGCACGCATTTCACTTGCAAAACTAAAGGCAGAAAGACCCACGAACAAAGAACTGAAGACAGCTGCAGTTAAGTGCCCGGCAAAGCATCAAAAAGGAGGAAATCCAGTCTTTGGTAATGTCCATGGGTTCCAGACTTCAGGTAGTCATTGCCAGTAAAGGATTCTCAACAAAATATTAAAAATGAACATTTTATTTATGATTATATTCATTTAATTACATTTGAGACCCTGAAAATGGAGGGACTGTGTATAAAAATGGCCACCAGCAGCCAGGGGTTTCAAACACGTGTTATCGGACAAGCCGAGTGTCAGGTAGAAGCAAATATATGGTCATGTGGTTACTGCTATATACCGCCAGTAATTTTGTCCCCCTACCATGTTTCTGTGGCTTTACGCTCCCATATGCAGACCAAAGAACAGTATAGCAGTTGCTGCTGGGTAGATGAGAGGGAGAACAGTGAATGTTTGTTGTCAAACAAACATGCGGCGCTAATACGTACAATGATGCATGCAAATAATCATTTGGTGCAGGTAATAGCTAGTAAAATGAACACCACTTAATACTAAAACAGGATCTAGACAAATTATCTGAAAAGTCCAGGAATAATAATGATGGCGAGTATAAATCTTTCAACAAGAGTGTTCTTGCGGTGCATAATATATAAAATATCAGGACAAAAAGGTGACACAATAAGTGACTTCTGTGACCATATTCCTCCCGCAGAAATGAGTGTAGATTGCACTAACCAGAGAGCGCAATCTTAGTGCGCATTTGAGTGTTAACCAACTCCTGGTCATCCGGCTACTGCAAACTGGATCACAGAGTGGTCATCTGGCCTGCATCAACTGGGCAAACATCACAACCTCAGGGACACCAGATATCAGAGGGCGTGTAGTCATCTCACCACTGGGGGGAGTCTAACCAATCCTGATGTGGCCACCAGATCATCCCAATAAGCCTTGAAGGAGGGGGGGCTCGGAAGTAACGAGCCAAGACAATAGAAGATTCTGATAGTGTAGTGCTTTATTATCCACAGTAGAAAAAATATACAGATAGCTGAAAATCTTACTCACGTGTAGTGAGCAGCTGGTAGCAGGGGATTCCAAAATGGCCACCGGCCGTTCACAGGGGCCATGCAGTGTGACGTCACAGGGTATAAGGCACCTCCCTAACGTGTTTCGTGTGATGGCACGAAACGCGTTAGAGAGGTGCCTTATACCCTGTGACGTCACACTGCATAGCCCCTGTGGACGGCCGGCGGCCATTTTGGAATCCCCTGCTACCAGCTGCTCACTACACATGTGAGTAAGATTTTCAGCTATCTGTATATTTTTTCTACTGTGGATAATAAAGTACTACACTATCAGAATCTATTGTCTTGGCTCGTTACTTCCGAGCCCCCCCTCCTTCAAGGCTTATTGGGATGATCTGGTGGCCACATCAGGATTGGTTAGACTCCCCCCAGTGGTGAGATGACTACACGCCCTCTGATATCTGGTGTCCCTGAGGTTGTGATGTTTGCCCAGCTGATGCAGGCCAGATGACCACTCTGTGATCCAGTTCCAGTTTGCAGTAGCCGGATGACCAGGAGTTGGTTAACACTCAAATGCGCACTAAGATTGCGCTCTCTGGTTAATGCAATCTACACTCATTTCTGCGGGAGGAATATGGTCACAGAAGTCACTTATTGTATCACCTTTTTGTCCTGATATTTTATATATTATGCACCGCAAGAACACTCTTGTTGAAAGATTTATACTCACCATCATTATTATTCCTGGACTTTTCAGATAATTTGTCTAGATCCTGTTTTAGTATTAAGTGGTGTTCATTTTACTAGCTATTACCTGCACCAAATGATTATTTGCATGCATCATTGTACGTATTAGCGCCACATGTTTGTTTGACATTTCTTTTGAGGCTCCTGAGCCTTTCATGCTAGCTGCTCTCTGGTTGATTATCCAGCGCTCGTATTTTTTCTGTTTCTAGTGAATGTTTGTTCCCTAAACTCTTCCACCTAGAAAATACCTCTATCGGCCTGTGGCATATAGGTGTGGCAAAATAGGCACCGATACAGGTGACAAAAATAGCCCCGCCGGTTCTCACGCTTACCTGAGAACCCATTCCAACAATCCCGGCGCTTGGGCATAGAGATCATTGAAGGAAAGATGACTTCCACTCATCACTACGCCCTCACTTCCGGCGCCATGTAAACAAGGCCACTTTTTTTTTTTGAACCGCCTCCTGCCCGCCATATAAGGAAATAACGGACGGGCGGTGGTTCTCTCATTTTGGGAGGACGTCATATGATGTCCTCTCACACTAACTGCACATGTGCGCCCCCGGGGCTGCACAGCGCCAATCGGTGGTGCGTTGTGTCCCTGGGACACAGCGAATCACCGATCAGCGGAATCACAGATGATCGCATGTAAATAAGGAAATGCCGGTTATCTGCATTCCTCTCCTCACAAGCTGTCACGATGAGGAGAGGAGAGCCAGTAATCAGCATTCCCCAGAGGGAACATCTACACTGAGCATGAGAGCACTGACGATCAGTGCCCTGATGATCAGTTTAGCCCCGTCCGTCAGTGCCACCTAACAGTGCCATATGAGTACTGCCTGTCAGTGCCCATCAGTAACGCCTGTTAATGCCCATCCGTGCAGCCTCATTAGCGCACATTAGTGATGGAGAAAAATTGCCAATTTACTAAATTTTGTAACTAAGAAAAAAAAAATTTTCTCCCCAAAATTGTCATGTTTGTTTAGCAAAAAATTAAATTTTTTATTTAAAAAAATTAAATATCACCAAAAGAAAGCTCTAGAAGTCTGAAAAAAAAAAAATACAAAAATTTCATGTGTTGCACGACTGTGCAATTGTCATTCAAAGGGCGACAGTGTTGAAAGCTGAAAATTGGCCTGGACAGGAAATGGGTGAAAGTGCCCAGTAGACAACTGGTTAAAGCACTAGATCAATGCTTTTTTTTTTTTAAATCTAATGCTTTACATTGTAGAGGAGAGATGTGGGGTCTTATTGGCCCACAATCTCTACACAAAAAAAAGGACCTGTCACTGCTTATTTCTATTACAAGGGATGTTTGCATACCTTGTGACAGGAATAAAAGTGATAAAAAAAAATTAAAAGGGACAATGTAAACATTTTTTTTATTTATTTATATTTTTAACGTGGCCCCACCTCCCCACAGTGGTGGAACGCATATGTAGACCATGCCCACACACGTAAACGGTGTTCAAACCATCAGAGCGAGAGCAATAATTCTAGCACTAGACCTCCTCTGTAACTGTAAACTGGTAACCTGTAGAAATTTTTAAATCGTCACCCATGGAGAATTTTAATATCATAGTTTGGCGCCATTCCACGAGCGTGAGCAATTTTAAAGCATGACATGCTGGGTATATATTTACTTGGTGTAACATCATCTTTAATATTTTACAAAAAAACTTGGGGTATATAGTTTTTTTTATTCAATAAAGTAATTGTTTTCCAAAAAATTTGCATTTGAAAAATATATACATTTTTAAAAACTGCCCATATAGGTTTTCAGCTAAGTGCATCCTGAATTTTTGGTTTCGGAACCAGAATTTTCATTTCGGTGCACCACTACTAGAAAAGACCCAGAAGCAACATGAATTACATCACTTACAATTTCTGCAGCTTCTACAATCCACGTTCCATTAGCTTCAATGGAGGGCAGGTGAGATATCAGGGCTCTAAAAGACCTCTCGTGTCTCATTAAAGAAAAACTGCCATAATAAAATATCACATAGGGGACTTTTGGTATATGATCAAAATATCAAGTTTAGTGAAAATGAAAAAAAAAAAAAAAAAAAAAAAAAAGTTACTCCTAAACCACCCAGATCACTTTTACTGATCAGCCAAATACTGGCTGGGGGAAAAGAAGGAGGAGGACACGAAGCTCATGGATGCAGCCTCACCCATGAGCTCGAATTACCACTTCAAGCCCAGGAGGTTTTAAAAATTGGCGAAAGGATGTGAAGTGGTTATTCCAGAGGAAAAGAATACACTCGCCTGTTTTGCTATCCTAGATCAATGGTTCTCTCAAATAGTCCATTAGAAATAGATACACAAGCAGGATTCAGAGGCTTGTCTTGCCTGCCTGTATACTACATTTACAAAGTACAAGCTAGCCTTAGGCTAGAATAGCAATGATCTTATTCTCTAAGCTTATGTATATCACACACTTGCTATGAGGCTCTCTTGTAAAGCACTGCAAAAAAAAAAAAAAAAAAAAAAAAAAAAAAAAAAAAAAATTATATATATATATATATATATATATATATATATATATATATATATATATATATATATATATATATATATATATAATCCTAGGGAGCAAGCTAACTGTAATATGTTATAATGCATTAGTTATTTAAACCAGAATTTTCATAAAATATATTAAAAGGTTTGCTATACTACCAGTCCACCACTTGCCAAACAGTTTAGGACTATAAAAAGCACAAAAACACTAAAGAACCTGGGCTCCCATTGCTTTCAGGAAGCACGGGTGACACATACACTAAGCTTCATTGGCAAAAAGCTATATGTTTGAAATCTCAGAAGAATATGGCAGGAGAGTATTTTTGGGGGATTTCAAGTACCTAGCTTTCCCAGGATACAGTATTGACACCACCCACTCCTCATGGAAGCATCAGAAGCTGGAATTGAGGTACATATTGCAGATTTTCTGTCAAAGCTTTAATTTTGAGGATTTTTTTTTTAAAGGCAAATCTGTTCAGGTAGTGGAGGACCAGCAGTAAAGCAGACCTTTTTCATAAAAGGTCTGCTTTAAATTTTGAAAGACTTAAAATACCTTCCAGAGCTCCTCTAGCTTGTTTATTTGCTGCGCTGTAATTTGGCGAGCTCTCAGCTGCTCTTGTTCAGATGGGATCTTCACCAGCCAGGAGAGGAAGCAACGATCTTGTATAAGTGGCTGCCACTGAGAGCTGTCCCAGTTAATATCCTTCAAGCTGCTTTGACTAGCACAGGGCTGCCTGAAAAGGAAAACAAAAATTGCATCCCGTTTTTAATGCAACACAGATGAATATTAAAAAAAAAAAAAAAAAAAAAAGTGTGCCCTAATAGTTACTTAATTTACAGCATACCCACACATCTCAAATGCTATAAACAAATCTTTTATCCTCGCCTGTGATCTGCAAGATGCCCTTTCTACAGGTGGAAAAATATGGTCCACTACAGAGTTACAGGTAGTCCATCTACAGAAATCACAGTGCATTATACAGCTACATAAAAATGCAAGCTTTGTTGAGAAGGGCCTGTATTTTTCACCCTAAAAGAAATGTCAAGCCACACCCATTTCCATGATAGGTTAACAGGGAGACAAACCAACAAGCAATGTCCGTGGCCCTAGCACTGCACCTCCTGTACAAAGACCAGTCTAAAAGGAGTGATGAAAATTATAGCTCAAGAGTCAGCCCAAACAGAGGGGTAACTACTAATCACTCAACGAGTAAGGCACTGAGGCAGGATTCAGAAAGAGAAAAGGATGAAGGGTAAAATTAGATTTTGGTACTTGCCTTAAAAATGTTGGGAGTTCATTCAGGTTTCTAGCAAAACAGTACTGAGAGCAGTGCCATAAACACAGTGGGGAGGGACCAATGTGGTGTTCCTCAGTGAACTCCAAGAAAGGGATTTCACAGCAAATCCAAAAACAAATTTCTTTCCTATTCATTGAGAATTTAGAGACAGCTGGTACATCTAGAAGCATTCAATAAGCAACAATAACCAGACACTAACTTCCACAAGCAAAAGAAAGGGCACAGGTGATGTCAACAAGGAATGCAACCCCCATGAATAAGAGTGGAAAGGGGGAAAGAACCATGAGAAGTTGATTTTTGAAGAGCCAAGAAAAATTCAAATCCCACGAACTGAGGAACACAGGAAACCACATAGCGATAAACTGTACAAAGGTTTTAAAGTGGAACTTTAGTTGGAAAATTGTCTGCTAGATCACAGGCTGGCCCCATTTTCAGGTATAGCTATGTAAAACAATAAAAATAAGTGCCTATACTGTTTAAAATTTAGTCTCACCCTGCTCTGCACATGCTTGGTTGCTCTATATTTTTAGGCACTGCGCTGAAAATGTAGAGGCCGATCTGCTAATAGCCAAGGGTCTCTGGGCTTCAGCAAAATGGCAGCCTCCAGTAAAAAAAAACTGCTGAAGGCAATTTACAGAACACACTAAATTTTGAAAGCATAAATACTAATGTGGAATGTATTTTCCTTCCTAAGAACATTATTTTATTTTTAAGTTGCTATGGGTAAAGCTCTGCTTTAATCAATGGGAAGCTAGCACTCTCTGGATCAAGATCGCAAGTGCCAAGATTTTCCCCTTGATGGTACCCAGTGCTAAATACTGATCAAAGTCCAGCTGCATCTCACACAAATTTTTCTGATATGAAAGTTTTTCTTCACACCAAGCAAAGTATATCTTCCAAGTTGGGGATAGCAGAACTTGAGAGAAATGGACTCCCTAGCTTTTAGAATCGTAAGAATTTGCAGATTTGAAAAGGGTCCCTGTCCAAGACTTGAGCTTCAACAGCCATACTGTTAGAGCAAGAGAAAAGTATGGCAGGTTGTTAAACCGGTCCTTTGGACAGAAGATCTGGATAAACCCAGAAGAGCCCACAAGTGACTGCCAGGAAAAGAATAAGGTCAGGGTAGGATCTCTACCTACAAAAATACTAGATAGGAGAGGGAAAGAGCACCCCCTGAAGAAAAGGGGTTACTTCTAGAACTAAAAATTGGTATATATCCAGACTTGTAGCAATAATAATAAATAATCTAGATATAAGCCAATTTAGTTCTACAAGTAACCTCTTTTCTTCGGGACGGGGGGAGTGTTGGCATTCTAGACAATTTAGTGCTCCTTTTAAAAGTGGTTTATTACTATATCTACGTATCTGCCAAGAGCTAAGTGGGTAACCGTAATGCCCTCCAACTCAAGCCTGTGGAGCAGAGGAAGAAGAGGTTTTAGGGGAGGAAAGGGACAGAACAGGTTTGTACTGATACCACAGAGCCACCAGGGCATCCACTGCTTTTGCCAAAGAAAATGCCTTGGGGAGAAAAAAAAAGAAAAAAAAATATCTAAGAGCATCTCCCACCTGAGACACAGGTCCTGGAACACTTACAGGTGTGAAACCTATTCCTGGGATCCCAACACTGATGACAAAGTATGTGTGACATTTGTCCAGGCCTGTGATGTAAACAGTGGACAGGCTAAAACTTAAATTGTTTCAACAGATCATGCAGTGGTAAGACCTCTGGATTCTCCTTGAAGGACGATGTACGGCACTGTTGTGGTGCATTCCAATTGGATGATCCTCCAGAAGTAAATGTCCAATGTTGAAGAGACAAATAAAATCATCCGGCACTCTAAAATGTTGATCAGGAGACAGGATTCTTCAAGTTACCTAGTCCCCTGCACCGATAATGTGTATAGGTCTCCTTCCCAGCCTTCTGGGCTGGTATAAAGTACACTGTTAGGATCCTTCAAGAGATGGAGGGGAGGATTTCCCTAACTCCAGATCTGATTTTCTGAGCATCCATGCCAGAGACAACCCACTCTGTCATGACAGGTGAAACGGTTTTTATCCAGAGACTGTACCAATTTGACCCACAATGACACGATGCTGAGAGATTGTCTGGAGTTGTGGGGTCTGGAGTGGGCAAACAGTACTGCCTTGAAGGAGATATTAGAACTTAAATGCTGAAAACGTCAATCAACTCGTGGATGGAATAGTCATTCTGGGAAAAGAAAGTGACATTTTTTTTTAAGGGAAGAAAAACAGTAGCTTGTGTCTGGGACAAGATCAAGATACTTCAAACAAGAAGTCAACTAAAAGGCTGACTTCTAGTGAGTCAGGATCAAAACCATTTTAAATCTCTGAAATATTCACACCACATTTTCGGCCAGGATTTATGCAGTTTCCCTAGAAGGAGGTTGTCCAATATTTTCCAATGACGACACCATAGAAGCTTAACAGTACAAGGGCCAGAACCTCAGTGAGCACAGTGTGCAGAAGACAGGCTGAATGGCGGGGCCACAAACTGAAGAAATGGCTGATGCACAGGAAAAAAATGGAGACATGCAAGTATGCACCCTTTATGCCCACAGAGGCTAGGTGATCCCCCTGTTGGTGGGAGGCCATGAAAGACCTGGTGGATTCTGTTAGCGAATTTCTGGACCCAAAGATATTTTGGTTTGGGAACTGTGAAAAGGTTGGAGTAGAAACCCTGAAACCATGCCACTGCAGGAACTGGGGTAAACATCCCTTGAAAAGTAAGACCTGCATGGGGTTTATACAAATCTGCATGTTAACACAGGCAGGCTGGGGTAATTAGGACAACCAGAATAGGAAAGTACTGAACATGTCTCCTTCGATATGGGGCAGAGCCTGAGCATAGCAGTGCAGGAGAGCACGCTGTGAGTGCTCTCTGGTAAACCTCCATAGCCGCCACCCCGAGAACCCTCATGTAGCGGTGTGTGGAGCCCTACCTGAGTCAGCTGAGCCTGGGACGTGGGATGCTGGAGCTGGGAGAGGGACAGGAGTGGAAGCTGGCCCCGATCCCTAGGAGACGATCCCCCGGCGACTTGAGAGAAGGCAGTGGGGTTGCCGAGGTGACGGAGTGACGCTGCGTGACCGTGTGGTCAGCCGCAAAGGAGCATTGGGAAGGGGGAGAAGCCGGCCGGCGCTCGGAGAGGAAGATGAGCATTGGGAAGGGGAGAAGCCGGCCGGCGCTCGGAGAGGAGAGGAAGATGCCGGTTTAATCCCAAACCCACCGGGCAGCAGAGGCAGTGGAGGCAGCGGTCGGATACCCACCAGCAGACGACAGGGAACTGTAGGGACCCTGTAGGAATCCCCCGGGAAACATCCCAGGAGAGAGAGACGGACAACAGCGGCCTGGGGCCAGCTCACAGAAGAACTTGCATGAAGTAGGGTGAGTAAAGATGGCCTAAGTTGATAGTAAACTGTGAATCTATGGTGTCTTGGACTGTGTGATATGTTTTTAAAAATCCTGCAAAGGAGAGCAGGGGGATTCCCAGGGGGATTTTAAGACATTTGAAAGAAGATAAGGTTATTGGCCTGGGAAGAGAAGAGGAAAGGAAGGGTTAATTGATAAAGAACAGACCAATGCTGGCACCCTAATATATATCCTAAAGTCTCCCTCTAGGCCGATTAAAGAGAAATAGATACACAGAAAGGATGAAGAATAAGGGTGCTAAAGGAAGCGGACTTAAAGGCTCCCAGACGGGTACGATTAAGAAATATACGTCCCAGGGGAATGTGACTCCAGAAAGGTCTCAAGGTGCAAGTGAAAAAGGGGAAATGGAAATCAGCCTGGAAAACAGCCCTGGATTATCGTTGGGCCTGAATAGTAGTAGTAGCCGCCAACAAAGGTCAAAAAACAGAGAGGAAGGACCTGGAAAATGACTTACAAGTGCTGAATAAGAGAGAAATGGCAGAAATGTTTAAAAACCTGGAAAAAGTCTTAAAGCAAGAAATGACAAACCATACGACAGGATTTGGGGCATCTGTTATTGAGAGTGAAAGAAACGGAGGAAAAAGGTAAAAATCATACCCAAAACATCTCAGAGTTAGGAAAAAGGATTGCTACTATTGGGAACACTCAGAAAAATTGCTGTATAAGATGGAAGTTCAGGAAAATAGAGATAGGAAAAACAATCTTAAGATACGAGGAGTCCCAGAAATCTTTAAAGGAGAAGAATTGAGAGAAACAGTTTGTAAAATTTTTAACTACATTCTGGATAGACCTGAAAACAGAGTTAGTCAAGTTGGAGTTTATAGATCAGGAAAGTTTCATCAAGGAAAGGAGAAGGAAAAACCAAGAGATACAATTGCTCATCTGCACAAGTATTGGGAAATGGAGGAGATTTGGAGAAGGATCAAAGGAAAAACAATTATTAAGTATGGAGAAATGAACATTCAGATCTTTGCGGATTTATCACCTG